ATAAAAAAAAAAATAAAAAAAAAAAAAATAAAAAACCAATTTATATAGAAACTCTTCATTTATTATTTTTTTAATATCATTCCATTATTTAATTATATATATATATATATATCTTATAATTTTTTACTCAAGAGGTTTTATTTAAAATAAAAATGGTCAATTTTTTAAAATAAAAAAAAATTGAAAAAAAAATATAAATATACATTAAAATAGTGTATATGTAAAAATGGTTGTAAGTCTAACAAATTTTATTTTTATTTAATTTCTAAAATATTTTTTTAGAAAATATTATTTTTTTTATTATTTTTTTATTTCGGTTTTTTTTTTAAATTTTTTTTTTTAAAATTATAATTATTATAATTATCAACAAATTTATTAAATCAATACTTTCAATAAAAGAAAAGCAATCAATGAATTAAATCAAAGTCGGGGGAAATTGTAACTGAAGAACTCTCTTTGGTTGATAGTGATACGTATGCAAGATTTGAAAAAAAATATTATGGAATATCATTAGAAGAGGTAATTAGTTTGTTTTTCAATAAAAAATTTGTGAATAGTTTTTTGGAGCTAACAAATCTCAATTTAAGTAAAATCAACTCAGAAAAAGAAGAGATTTATAAAAGAGAATTTGAAGGAGGTTCCAAAAAGTATAAATTTAAGCCTATTTCAAGGATTACCAAAGAAGAGCTTTTTGAATATTTGTCTATTACCTTAATGTTAGATTTGGGTGTTTTTAAAACAATTATGGATATTAAAAACCATAGTAATACAAAAATGAAAAGAAACAGATTTTTTTTGGTTCAATCAACAAACAAATTTACAGATGATCAAATTAAAAGAATTGCAGGTGAAATGAGTGATATTAGTTATGATTTCGTTGAAGGAATTAAAGTTTGCACCCTTGGCGAAACTATATATAAATATATCCTAAATTCAGATTCAAAAGAGAAATATATTCAAGATAATAATAAATCTCCAATTATATGTATACCTCGTAAACCTCATGCAAATGGTCTTTTAAGTTATATGGTTGGAACCTTTTTAGAACGTATTCATCATTTGTCATTCCCTAAAAAAAGCCCAGAATCATCACCAAAAAGAGGGTCTTTTAAAGAATTAAAATATCCATATATTATAGAGTTTTTAAACAAGTTAGATTATCAAATAAATCCCTCAAGTAGTGTTGATAACGTATTAGGAACGTATAAAGATTTTAAATTTCATTTAGTTGGCGATAGTGCATTTTTTTCCAAAGATAATTTAAATCATATAGTAAATAAAGGTTGGTTGGCAACAATTTCAGATTCCTCAAGTAGCAACATTAACATATTGCACAAAGATACATTAAAAGATGATAAAAATTGGATTGCAATAGAACTTGATAGTTATTATAAAGTCTGTAAAATTGATGAAAGAGACGAAAAAGTTCCTACATTTAAATCAATTGCCACAACTGGTTTTAAAACTCAAAATCGTGAAGTTAATCCAAGTAAAGGTTATAATATTAGTGATGCGGTGGATCTTTATAAATTAAATGATTCAACTTTAAAGAAATTATGTTTAGGTTTAGGAGTTTCAAGATCAAGTAGTAATAGGAGAATGGTTATATCAATTTGTGGTATAGATCCATTATCTCATTCAACCAACCCCAATTCGTACTCATTATTATCAGAAGCAATTCAAAAAGATACTTTAAAATCATTTTCATTGGTTAAACTCAAAAACTTGCATCAAGATTTTAATTTACCAGCTCCTGCCCAGTTAACATGTGAAGGTTACATTTTAGCTCTTACCAGACTTTATGAAAATGAAAACTTTGAATTAGATTCGCTTTTGAAAGACCTTTCCCAATCTCTAAGAACTTCTCCTCCATTAGAATCAGATTTTTATAAAAATGGTTCAATGTAATAGATATTCACAGCAGATATCTATATTCAGGTGGTATTCATGGATATGTTAAAAATTGGAGAATATTTGCTGTTTCATGTTTAATCAAGTCTTATATCATCAATATCTATTCATTTTATATGTCAATTACATCAAAACACATGAAGTTTGAAGAATTTAAACAAATTTTCATACATAGCATTAGAGAAGTTAATTTAGTCCCAAAAAGTCCATCCTCAAATCAAAATCAAAATCAAAATCAATTTTTTTATTTATCCAGAAGTCCTGTATTTTAACTATTCACCATCTTTTTAAAGCTCAATCATATATATATAAATACTTTCTACATTCTCATATTTATATAATTGATAAAATATTTTAAATAAAGATATTACAAACAAAACATTGTCTTTTCTTATTTTTTTTTTTTTTTTTTTTTTTTTTTTTTTTTTTTTTTAAATTAAAAAATTTTTTTTTTAAAATTAAATTTCAGGGTCCCCTTTAAATAATAAATAATTATAAATTAAATCATATTTCTCATGTATAATAAAAATAATAAATGAAATATTTACAAGCAATAAAAGATTTGTTTATTATTTTTTCTATTTTTTTAATTTTATTTTTTTTAAATTGATCAAAAAAAATACACCTGATACACAAATTAACACAACAAATAATTTCCTACAAAACCATATATAAATTATGAAACAAAATTAAAAAATAATATATTTACAAATATAAAATGTTATACATATGAAAAAAAGCGAAAAAATGAAATTTTGGAATTTGATTTTTAAAAATTTGGATTTTTATAGATAAATTTTAATTTTTTTTTTTTTTCTAAAATGCTATAGAGTTTGCTGGGAATTAGTTAAAAGTGTTGGTAATAGTATTATTGAAGGGAAAGAATTGACCAGTACATGTTTACCAATCGCTCTATTTGAAGCTAGATCATTTTTAGAAAAGGTTACTGATACATGGGGATTTGCGCCACTTTATTTACAAAAGGCATGTGAAACCAATGATCCTGTAGAAAGATTAAAACTAATAGTCAGCTTTGCAGTTTCTGGGCTTCATTTAACAACTACCATTGCTAAACCATTTAACCCATTACTAGGAGAAACTTTCGAATGTGACTTATCAGATGGATCAACTGCATTCATCGAACAAATTTCCCACCATCCACCAATTAGCTCATGGAGATTACACGAAAAAAATGGAAGATACAAGTATACTGGAAATGTTTGCTGGTCAGCTTCTTGTCGTGGAAATGTCGTTAGAGGATGTTTAAAGGGTCCCCATAATATTGAATTTGCTGATGGCTCTACTATCAATTTCAACTACCCAGATGCACTCATTAAAGGTATTTTTTGGAGTGACAGAGTAACTGATTTCGATGGTAAAATGATATTCACTGATGAAAAGAATATGTTAGGTGCTGAAATTATATTCAATCCAAATGCTTTAGGTTTTGTTAGAAGTTTATTTACAAAACAAAAATCACCATCAGATACTATTGTCGGTAAAATATTTAGACTACAACAAAATCATATCAACAACATCAAGAAACAAAACAATAACGGTTTCAACAATATTGATGAGGGCGATATCATTTCAAATATTGAAGGTACATGGCTCACTCAATTGTTAATTGATAACGTCGAATATTGGAATATCAAAATGGTTCCATATGGTGTATTATACAGAGATCCAGAAACAACTCTCCCAACAGATTCATCTCGTCGTGATGATATAAGATATCTAAAATTAGGAAACCTCGAAAAAGCAAAAGAATTTAAAGCCCTAATTGAAGATAAACAAAGACACGAAGCAAAATTAAAGAAGGAAAGTGAAAAAAAAAATAAAAAAGAAAAAAACTGATAAATAATAGTATATTGTAATAAAAGGGATAATAATATTTTTTTTTTTTTGGAAATAAAAACAAATAAAGAGTAAAATTATTAAAAATATTTTCTTTTTTTTCTTTATCTTTTTTTTTTTTTATAATTACAAAATATTTTTTTTATTTATTTTTTTTTTATTTACAAATTAAATTGAATTTACTTTTCTAATTTTATATATAAATTTTCTATTAATATTATTATTATAATTACTATATTATTTATTACTACTATTATTATTATTAAAATTTTATTGAATATCTGATCTTTGTGCTCTTTTTGGTTCTCTACGTAATGATTCTTTATATAAATCTTGTTGATATAAATCTAAAGTATCAGCTTTAAGATCACTTTTAATATTTAATAAAAATTCTTGAATTTGATGTACTGGTTGTAAATTGTAAGCTACATTTTGAGTTTCTTGAACTAAAGAGATTACTTTGAAAACTAAAGTTCTTTTAGTGAAATTAATTAAATTGACTGATTTACCTTTTGAAACTTCGATTGGAATATTATCTGGATTTTCTTCCATAAAGGTAAGATCAGTTAAATGGACACCTAAATAAGGAAGCATTGGTGGTACAAAATTTTGTAAACGACCTCTATAGGTTTTAAAGGAACCCTCTGAATTCATAATCTTTTCAAGTTCGGCATAAGATTTTAATATGGCTGGCGATAATTCTTCACGGGTATATTTGAGACGATAAACAGATGAAAAGTTGAGACCTGCTATAATTGCCATTAATGAGTTATAGTTGTTTAAAGTTTTCAAGTGTTCTGCAATCTTTATGAAACGAGCCATCATTCTAGCACGAGCCTTAACCTTGGCAGTTTGAATGATCATGGTGGCAACCCACATTGAAACTGAATTGAAACGATCGATCATCTTTAATACATTTGGAGCACGTGATTTTAATTTGGTTTTGTTCCATGATTGATTTAAAAGTTCTGGTGGCTTAATCTTTCTGTAGATTTCAAATTCGATTAATGTTAATTGTCTTGCGATTTCCTCTTCATCGATATCGTGGAATGAGAGATTGTTAGAGAAAATATTTTTGAATGCAACGATTGGTTCTGGTGTTTTTTCATTGAAAATATGTTTGGATTCGGTAGCTGGTGATAGTTTTTCAACGACTTTACTAAGTGATTTCATTAAATTTGAACCTGGACCTGGGAATTTAATAAGAATTTGATCGAGGAATGTACGAAGTTGTTGAATAAGTTTATCGTCAAAATCTGAATAATAATTATCGATCCAAGTTTTTAATACATTGACAACACGAATTTGAATAGTTCTTGCTGATTTTTCATCGGTGCCCTGTGGAACATTATAACGTTGTTGTAATTTAGACATTAATTTCTCTGGTGTACAAAATGATTGATATGTCATAAGGAATGTTTTAAGGAATTGAAGATCATGCTTGGAATCGTGTGTTAAATGCTCTACTAATTTATTTAATGAACCATATTTAACTACTTCATCGTCCTGGTCGTATTCGGTATTGTGAACTTTTTCGGTAATTATATTTTCTGCTGGTTCATCCCAAATATTAACACCATCATCTTCATTTTCCTCTTCGAGTAAATCCATTTGGAATAAAAGATCTTCTCTTTCGGTTATCTTTGATTGTCTTTCTTCTTTGGTATACTCTGTGTGTTCCATTGACAAATCGTAAATTCTTTCTGTATCTTTTAATGCATTTCTAATATAGGTAACTAATCTACTCTCTGTTGATCCTTCTACAATTGGTGTTGTAACTCTAGCTTCTTTTTCTAATGTTTGCTTTGTTTGTTTTAATCCTTTTGTTGATAAATGTTGTAAAATTAATTGTATTATAACTGTTTTATCAAGTTTTTGTTTAACCTCTGCTTTACCTGGATAATATTGTTTACCAAATTGTATAGCTCTATTAACTGGATAAATTCTTTCGCTATAAAAAAAAAAAAAATTTATTATTAATATTCTATAATGATAATCGATGTATATATAGAGTGTTGATTTGATATTTACCATAAATTATTAATTTCGGGGTTTGTCTTTAATACATTTTTTCTCCATTCTGATCTATCAACCTTTTCTTTAGAATACATCAATTCTACTGGATTAAATGATGATGGGGATATCATTTTTTACTATATATATGTTCTTTTTTTTTTTTTTTTAACTATTATTGCTATTATTTTTAACTATATGATTTATAACAACAATAATATTTTATTTCTTTTATTATACAACAAAAAAAAAAAAAAAAATTTATATATATTATTTATAAATATTTAAATAAACAAATGTTATGAAGTTGAAATCTACAATTATTTGATAAAGAAGGTTTTAAAATTAGTAAGTTATTAATTATTTTTATTTTGGAATATAAAAAAAAAAAAAAAGGTTTTTAAAGTTAACCAAAAGAATATAAAAAAAAAAATAGTAAAAAACTTTATAAATATGGTATCTTTGTCTATAATTACAATTTTATTAAATATTTAGTATGATACAAATCTATTGGTTATTATTGATTAAAGATAATTCCTTTTAATTAAAAAAAATATAAAAGGAATTATAAATTAGAATAAATGATTGTTGATGATGTGTTACTTGTGAAAAAAAAAAAAAAGTTATTAACAAGTAATATGTATAGGTTATTTTATATTAATTAAATAAATAGTGTGGTTTTATGATTTAAAAATATAAATATATAAAAGTTGTAGTTTATATATTCAATCAAATAATTTGTATAAAACAAATTATTTAAATTTTTTCTTTGTAAAACAACAGTAAAAATAAAAATAAAATAATATAATATAATAAACACAAAGATGTTATGAAAAAAAATTTAAAAAACAAAAATAAAAAAAAAAATAAAAATTTTAAAAAAAAAAAAAAAAAAAAAAAAAATCAGGCTAAAAAAAAAAAAAAAAAATTTTAAAAATAAAAAAAATTTAAAATAAAAATATATAATAATTACTGTTTGATTAAATTATAAACTGTACTATTATTTATGTTTAATGATTAAAACTATAATAATTTTAAAATGATTATTTATACTTTTTTTTTTTTTTTTTTTTTATAAAAAACATAAAAAATTTTATTTTTATTTTCTATTCAATTAAAACGAAAAAAAAAAAATAAAAAAAAAAAATAAAATAAAATAAAAATAAATACCCTATTTTAAAATTGATTATAATAATAAAATTAGAGAATTGGCAAATTGGTGATTTATGATTTATGATTCTGATTAATGATTCTGATTTATGATTCTGATTTATGATTTATTTATGATTGAAAATAAATAAATAAATAAATAAATAAATATTAAAAATGTATTTTTTTTTATATAAAAATAGAAAAAGAAATATAAAATAATAATTTTTATTTTATTATTTTTAAATTTAATTTATTTTTTATTTATTTAAAAATTAAATAATATAAAATTAAAAAATAAAAATAAATAATTTAATCTTGTGTTTTTAATTTTTTTAAAATTTTATATTAATAAAAACTTTTTTGTTCCTGATTAATTTGTGATGAAACGTATAATTAAAATATGTTTTATTTTTTTGTGGGGTGATGTGAAATTTTTTTATAGGGGGTTAGAGGTGACTTTTCTTTGTATTAAGATGTATTTGTGGAGTGTGTTGGAGGGGTTAATATTTTGTTTTGTTAATTTTGTTGTGTTTAAATAAATGTTGTGGTTTTTTTTTTTTTTTGGGTATTAATAATACTTAATTAATAAAACTTTTTTATAAAGGTTATTTAAGCTTCTATATGATGTTGTGGGTATGCATGCATGGTGTGTGTGTGTTTTCGTTATTTTTATTTTAAACAATATGTTACTAGTTGTTAAAAATAATTGTTGTGGCGCGTGATGAAAACACACCACACTTTTAAAAGTTTTGTGGGCTTTATTATGAAAATGTGTTCAGTTTAGTTCTACTTACCACAAAAATATTTATAAATAAAAAAAAAAGAAAATGAAAAAAATTAAAAAGAATTTTTTATGTTTATATTTAAATTTTAATGGTTATAAAAATAAAAAAAAAAAATAAAAAAAAATAAGATTTTTTTTTATTTGAAATAATGTGATCAAAATAAAAAAATAAAAAAAAATTTAAAATAAAAAAAAAAAAAAAAAAAAAAAAGTAATAAAAAATCATAATTTTCGGGTAGAGATTAAAAAAGAAAAAAGTTACTTTTTAGAGTTAATAATATATATTGATTATGGTACTATTTCTTTAGAAAAATTAAACAATAAAAACAGATAAAATCCATTAAATCTCTCCCAAGTGATTTTTTTTAATAAATTAAATTTTTATTATTTATTGTTAAAAATAATAATAATAAAATAAAATTTAAATTATTTTTATTTGAAAAACAAAACCTTTTTTATTTCAACATTGATGATGGTTTGATTGTTTTCCTTTAAAGAGTTTGAGAAGATGGGTGCCTTGAAGTTTGTGATGTGGGGGATTTCATAACGTTTAATAAGTGATTTTATGATTTCAGTAACAACCATGTCATGACGAGTGATTCTACCGAATTTATTCATACCTGTACATCCACCTTCTAAATGTTCAATTGATTCATCAGCACTTGCACACATCCTACATCTTCTATCCGCATTTGAACTGCATCACGGTGAGCTAATGACATTCTATTTGGTAATAACGACAAAACTGCTTCCCAAAATGTTGTTGTTTGTGGCAAATGATAATTCAAAACCAAGTTCTGAGGCGTAATGACAAGCTGTGTCATATCTTCTGGTTGGAGGAGGTACCATAATACTTGAAACCGAATGGGAGTGTTGTGAGACTATTTGGTATTTAATTATTAGTCATGAACTGACCACTTTATTTATAGTTTTTTTTAGTATTAATGTTATGTTTTTACTTTGTTTAGGAATTCATTGATTCACTTGGTGCGGACATATTGATTATTACCTTGGCTAATTTTTCGGTGGTAGTCAGAGCCAGCTTCTGTTCATATAAGCCGGGACCACTAAGATCAGTACACAATCTTTGTGGTTTGGTCTAGCCTGTGTTTTACCTGCAATGCATTCTGATTGATGAGACCGGACCGGGTATCGTTTAACGATTCATACCATTTAATATGGCAGAGTTCTGAATTTGGGTGGATATCAGGATCCAGATGTTTTTTTACTCCTCACTTTGGTAATGTGACGGGTGGAATTACTTGGTTAAAACCACGACCGAATGTGAGTGTTGTGAGACTATTTGGTAATGTGCCGGGTGTAACTACTTGGTTAAAATTATCACCGAATGTGAGTGTTGTGAGACTATTTGGTAATGTGCCGGGTGTAACTACTTGGTTAAATTTTCTTCCGAATGTGAGTGTTGTGAGAGTATTTGGTAATATGTCAGGTGGAATTACTTGGTTAAAAAAACCACCGAATTTGAGTGTTGTGAGAGTATTTGGTAATGTGCCGGGTAGAATTACTTGGTTAAAAAAACCACCGAATTTGAGTGTTGTGAGACTATTTGGTAATGTGCTGGGTAGAATTACTTGGTTAAAACCATCACCGAATGTGAGTGTTGTGAGACTATTTGGTAATGTGCGGGGTGAAATTACTTGGTTAAAACAATAACCGAATGTGAGTGTTGTGAGACTATTTGGTAGTGCGCCGGGTAGAAATCCTTGGTTAAATCTATCATCGAATGTGAGTGTTGTGAGACTATTTGGTAATGTTCCTGGTGAAATTACTTGGTTAAATTTATAACCGAATGTGAGTGTTGTGAGACTATTTGGTAATGTGCGGGGTGGAATTACTTGGTTAAATTCATCACCGAATTTGAGTGTTGTGAGACTATTTGGTAGTGTGCCGGGTAGAACTCCTTGGTTAAATCTATAATCGAATGTGAGTGTTGTGAGACTATTTGGTAATGTGCCGGGTGGAATTACTTGGTTAAATTCATCACCGAATGTGAGTGTTGTGAGACTATTTGGTAATGTGCCGGGTGAAATTACTCGGATAAATCTACGACCGAATGTGAGTGTTGTGAGACTATTTGGCAATGTGCTGGGTGAAATTACTTGGTTAAAATTATCACCGAATGTGAGTGTTGTGAGACTATTTGGTAATGTGCCGGGTGGAATTACTTTGTTAAAATAATCACCGAATGTGAGTGTTGTGAGAGTATTTGGTAATGTGCCGGGTGAAACTACTTTGTTAAATCCACCGAGTGTGAGTGTTGTGAGACTATTTGGTAATGTACCGGATGAAATTTCTTGGTTAAACCAATCACCGAATGTGAGTGTTGTGAGACTATTTGGTAATGTGCCGGGTGAAATTAGTCGGTTAAATGCACCACCGAATGTGAGTGTTGTAAGACTATTTGGTAATGTGCCGGGTGGAATTACTTGGTTAAATTCATCACCGAATATGAGTGTTGTGAGAGTATTTGGTAATGTGCCGGGTGAAACTACTTTGTTAAATCCACCGAGTGTGAGTGTTGTGAGACTATTTGGTAATGTACCGGATGAAATTACTTGGTTAGAATTATCACCGAATGTGAGTGTTGTAATACTATTTGGTAATGTGTCGGGTAGAATTACTTGGTTAAAATAATCACCGAATGTGAGTGTTGTGAGACTATTTGGTAATGAGCCAGGTGGAACTACTTGGTTAAATCTATCACTAAATTTGAGTGTGAATGTAATTGTATTTGGTAAAGTTGTTAGAGCTAAAATGTTATCAAAACGGTGGAGATTTAAATTTGTCAAAAATGGTGGAAATTCATTTTTATCTGGTAGTTGATCACCATACCAATTAAGTGTTGTTATATATGATTTATCTTTATACTGGCCATAACTCGATATATCAAGATCTACAACACTATATAAAATAAACTTCAAAAGATGTTTATGAATTTCTTTTCTTAAAAATATATTATTCCAAATTTTATAAAATAATCTATAATAAATAGTTAAAAATAGAAAAAACCAATTAAAATGCTTTTAATTAATCTATTCTTTATATGTATTGTATCTATTTGTATTGTACTTACCTATCACCAATATTAATACTGGTTTTTAACTCTTCATTTACGCGAATGTTAATTAGAGATGATAGTAGCTCATCCATTATTTATATATAAAAAAAAAAAATTTAAAAAAAAACATTAAAAAAAAAAAAAAAATTATTTTTATATTTTTTTAAAAAAAAAATATTTAAAAAGTGATGATCTAAATTAATTAAATTTTTTATTTTAAGAAAAATTTTTTTTGATTTTTACAACCCTTGTTATATTATTACGTTTAGTAAATATTAAATCCGATAAACAACCGAAAATAAAAAAAGAATATAAAAGAATTAGGGAAGTGTATAGAGATATTTTATTTGAAAAATTAATTACCAAAAAGATCAGAATTCGAAATTTAATCAAGTGTTGGTTATACACAACCTGCTTTATAAGTAGAATTGAAGAATAATATTTAATATCCATAAATTTATAGATAACTGTCACCCTGTTGCTATTTCCTTTATAGTAGAAATCATAACCCAAGTATGGTATCTTTATTTAAATTTTTATTTAATATTAAATTATATATTAATAATCTTTTTATTATATTTTTTCTTTAAATATATTAATTAATCACACCCAATATAATGACAATGCAGTATAGTCGATTTATTGTGCCAATCTCAGATTACCATTTTTGTATAAAATTTCTTTCAATTTTCTCACCACACAAAAATTCACAAAATATTTCAAATAAATAACAGATCAATAATAATAGCCTTCAAGTAAGAAAATAAGTACACCATTTTAAAACAAAAACAAGAAAACATTAGAATCCATAGCACTAATCATTTATATTTTACTCAAACATCCCCAGTTATGAAGTAATGGCTTGACCAATTTAAGTCTTTTTAGAGCATGTTAGTTCTATCCTTAAGTTTTCATAATTTGATTCAATTATTAGTGAATCCATTCCAGCCATGATTCAAATAATTACAGTTTATGAAACGCTTAAAGGCCACCAACATCTTTTTTATTCAAATATTTTATTGATGTTAAAAAAGCTATTCCAATACTTTGTAACATGAATCTAATTCAAACTCGCCTATCTTGAACCAAATTATTCAGAATGAGAAAGTTTATTGGGTATCAATCTAAATGCAGTTATATATAAACATAGTCTATAGATACCACCATACCATCTTAGAAAATAAAGAAAGTTAATCAAGAACAAACCTATAGGATGTCACCACCATACCTATTGAGTACTCATAATGTTTACATGTAGGAATTATTATTTTTATTATTACACCCATTAATATATTTAAAAAAAAAATTAAAAATTAAATAAATAACTAAAATGGTAAATAATAATATAATAATTGATATAAATCATTTGGGGTTATAAAAATTAAGTTTTTAACATCAACAAAATACTTTTTCTGTAGAAAATAATATAGAATTGATTTTGGGTTTTTTTTTTAAAATTAATTTTAACCCAAATTAATTTTTAAGCGACTTAAAAAAAAAAAATTTAAAAAAAAAAAATGACTTATAATTACAACTTAATTTTTTTTTTTCTAACATTATAAAAATTAAAATAAATTAATATACCACAAATAAAAAAAAACAATGGAAAAACAACAAAATGACATTAAATGTTATGATCATCCTCAAAATGATTTGGTTTTAATATGTTTATCATGCCAATATAAACCAGCATGTATAAAATGTGTAGTTGGAGATCACAAAGGCCATATTTTTGAAGATATAGAGAATTTAGATTTTAGAGATGATATAGACTACAAATTTCAGGATGAAATCATACCAAAGCTAAATGAACAGTTAGAAAATAATAAAAATCAATTGGAGAAATCTGAAAATAACTTTGCTCAAATTAAAGATAGTCATGAAAAAAATTTAGAAAAATTAATGGATGAATTTAAGAAAATAAAAGATTTTCTTATTGCAAAAGAAAATGATTTAAAAAGATTACTAATAACTAAATTTGATGAAAATTTAGAACCAACACTGCCATCACAACAACAATTCAAACTACAAACAAAAAAATTATCAATATTATTAACTATTATAATGTCCAAAAAAATAAAAACAACAACAACAAAAACAACAACAAAAACAACAAAAACAACAAAAACAACAACAAAAACAACAACAACAACAAAAACAACAACAACAACAACAACAACAACAAAAACAATAATAATAATAATCATTCTTTTATTGAACTTTTAAAACATATTGACCAATATAGAGACATTTTATTGAACATAAACAATTTACTACCCAACTATAATGATACCCAATTACTTTCCAATCAATATGATTTTGAAAAAATAAAAGATCAAATTAATCAATACTTTGAAATACAAACTGTAGCATTAGAAGGTAAATATTTATTTTTTATTTTTTTATTTTTTTATTTTATTTTTATGAAATTTTATCCTCTAATCTAAAATCTTTTTAATCTAGGTATACAAACAAATAGATCTGAGACTTATGATAACTATGATCATTATTATTATAACAAGGAAGATTATTATGATTAACCAAAAAGAAGAACATTTAAAAACAATTTTTTTTCTAGAAAATAGAACAAAATAAAATGTTTTGTTTAATTTTATTTTACATAATTTATTTAAATTTTTTTTTTATTTATTTTATTTTATTATTTATATAATAAACATTATTGTGATAAATTTATTTTTTTTTTTTGTAAAAATGTTGTTCAAAGTTATTTTTTTTTTTTTTTTTTTTTGAAAAGATTCTTAATCAATTATCGATAATTTGAAAAATCAAAACAACCTGAGCCGATACTAATCGGAAAAAAAATAAAGAATAAATTTTATTTATTTGTTTTTTATTTTTTTTTAATTTTAGTTAAAATTAAAAATAAATAAAAAACCTTGTTTTTTATTTATTTTTTTAAGTATCTTATTTCTTTTTTATTTGAGGATATTAATAATTATTATATTTAAATATAATTATTTATTAATTTTTTATGAAACAAATTAGCAACGTAAAATTGTTTTTTTTTAATTTTATTTTTTTTTAAAAAAATTTTTTTTAAATTTTTTTTATTTTTTTACATAATTTTTTTTTATTTTATTATTTTTTTTAATAGTTAATTAACTACAAAATTAAATAATAAAAATATCAAATCGATAAATTATAATTAAAGTTTTTTTTTTATATTTTTATTTTATTTTTCTTTATTTACATAAATATATTTATAAATGGCATCACCAGACCAAGATCCATATTACTTGGCAGAAAAGTAAAATTTAAAATGACATATTTATAGCATTAATAATAATAATAATAATAATAATAATAATATTAATAATAATAATAATAATAATAATAATAATAATAATAATAATATCAATAGGATAGTAATAATTATAATTAATAAAAATATTTGATAATAATATGAATTTAAAAAAACATATAATATATTAATATTTTTAATTTTAATAATATAGTAATATAGCATCAGCAGCTAGAGGTTTAGAAGGGTTATACGAAAAATGGAATTCATTAGTTTTTGAAACAAATACATATACAAATAAAGAATTTAAATGGACAAGAAAGGAAATGAAAAAAGTATTACAGGATATAGAGGATGATCTTTCAGATATTGAAGAGGTTATTGGTACAATAGAAAAGTTTCCTGGTAGATATCATTTGTTACCAGGCGAGTTACAGAGAAGAAAATCATTTGCAAATGATGTTAGAACCCAAATAAATCGAATAAAAAGTAGTTTAAATGACCCAAGCATATTAAGAAAGATTGAAGATGATAAAACAAAAGAACTTTTAACAGCTGATAGAATTAACCAAATTGAAAAGACATCGAGATTTGATGGTCTAAAGAGGGCCCATGAAGAAGATAATAGAGATTATGTACGTGACAATCATCAATTCCAACAACAATTATATCAACAACAAGATCAAGGTTTAGATGAAATGCATACCAATCTCATCGATTTAAAGGAAATGGGTGAAAATATGCATACAGAACTTAAAGTACAGGCTGGTATTTTAGATAGACTACACGAACGTGCTGAAAACTCAAGTGCTCTTTTAGGTAGTGTTATGAGAAAATTAGATAGATTTATGGAAACCACAAGTAGCAAATTACAATGGACAATTATCGCAATTTTAGGTGTTATTTTTATAGCTTTAGTTCTTTTAACAACTATGGTCAAAAAATAATAATAATTAAATAATATAACTTTTTCAAAACAAATAAAATAAAATAAAATAAAAAAAAAAAGAAAAGAAAATAAATAATAATAAAAATAATAATGTAATATAAAGTAATAATAACAATATCATATAAATAAACTATTTAATAACTTTTTTTTTTTAAATAAAACAAAATATTCTTTTTCTTAAAATTAAAAATAGAAAAATTATGTTGATAGATAATAATTTAGATCTAATTAAAATAAAAATATGCATTGTTTTTTTTTTTTTTAAATTTGTTTGTTTATTATAGTTTTTTTTTTTTTTTTTTAAATGATTGTATTTTATTCATCGTCGGATAAAACTAAATCTTCAACTAAATCATCGACATTACCATCACCAGTAACTTTGAATTTTGGTTGGGTTTTTTGTTTTTTAACTGGTTGTTTTGATTTTTTACCGTGATAAACTTTTTCTTCTTCTTCTTCTTCCTCTTCTTCGTCATCATCTTCACCATCAAACTCTTCTTCATCACCTTCTAATTCTTCACCTTCTAATTCTTCATCATCTTCACTATCAAACTCTTCTTCTTCGTCGTCTTCATAATTATAAACTTTAGTTGATTCGATTAAAGTCTTTTGAAGTTGTTTACTCTTGTTCTTTAATGATAATAATAATTGTTTTAATGGAGTAATCTTATATTTATCTTTGAGATTATCGATGAAAGCCTGAACTTGTTTGGTTTCTTTTGGTGAGAATGAAACTTGATCTCTGGCAGTTTTAACGATTTTAACAGTTTTTTCGATTGCTTCTAAAATTTCTTGAAGATCTGAAATAACTTTTGGTCTGTATTCTTTGGTTTTAAGAGCTTTTTTAATATGAATAATAATTGGTGTAACAAGTTCTGGGAAACCAATATGATAATTGAAGCATGTGAGATTTTCAACTAATAATTCGCAAAATTGAGCTAAAAGACCATCTTGGAATTCTTTAGAGTTTAATTGGGTGGATGAAGCTGAAAGAGTTGTATGGAAATTAATGAAGCCATTCTTTTTGGTGGTTTTTTGATTTTTCATTTCGCTGCATGATAAAATTTCTAAGAGATATGGGGTACAGTTAATAAAAGTGCCATTGGTTTCAGCTAAACGATTGAGGTAACGAATACAATGGAAACGAAGTGGGATATATCTTGATGATGGAATTAAATTGATAATACCAATAATAATTTGGGTAATTGGATATAAGAGTAATGAAAGTTGCTCTTGGTTTGGATAAGCAGCAATAATTTCTACCCAAGCACCAATACCATTAATAAATTGCCAATTGTAAATATTTTGGAAAGCTTGTTTGGTGTTGGTATTGAGTGAATTTCTAAGATGAATTGCTAATTGACGAATGAAAACAAAAGCACTACGATAGGAACTGGCAAAATCTAAACCATAAAGTTCGATAACACAATTACACATAAAGTTGATTAATGCTAATGAACTGGTGTTGACATTTACACTACTTCTAACATAATTTAAATAAATTCCTTTTAAGCAGTCATCAATAAATGGGAATGGAGATAAAATTGCTAATTTTCTGATACATAAAAATGCTAAAACTCTAACACTTTCATCTGGTGATGTTGACCATTGTTGTAATAAATTCTAAAAAAATTAAAAAAAAAAAAAAATTAATATTTTGATTTTTATAATTACAATTATAAAATAAAATTATAAGACCTACTTTTAATAAAACTTTTGAATATTTTGGGAAACATGCAACATATGAAATAATCTTTTCTAAACCTTTAAGAATTAATAATAATAATTTTGTTTCACCAACTTGAGTTAAAAGATGGATAAATGATTTGATGAATGAATTGGTACATGAATGTAAACTTGCCCATTTTTTAGAGATGTTTGGTAATTCAACTTTATTATTTGGTTCATCTTCACCTTGTTCTTGACTGTTGTACTCTAAAATCTTATCAAAGAAAATTGGAATGTTTTGAAGACAAACAATAAGAGTTCTATTGAAAACAGCACTATTTACAATTTTGAATGGTAATTTGGCAACATCTTCACCACCAGTTCTAGCAGCACATCTAAATGCAACAACTAATTTCTTTACACTTTGAACTGTGGTTTCTTTTTGAGCTTGAACAACCCATGAATCTAAAAGAGCTGATGTTAAAATATCTTTTGATGCAGTTGTTTTTTTTGGTTTGCTTTCTTTTTCATCACCTTCTGGTTCTTCATCATCTTCGTCATCTTCATCATCTTCGTCTTCACTGACATCATTAGTAAAACTTAATAATTCTTTATCGTTTTCACTTAAAAATTCGAATAATTTTGGATCTTTTAATTTTAAAGTTTCAAGATCTTGTTTATGTTGTGAAATACTTTGTTTTAATGATTTGGTATTTTCTGAATCTTTAATAATTTCTTTTTTATCTTTTTTATTTGATAATTTCTTTTCATTTTCATCTAAATCATAATCGACTTCTTCTTCATCCTCTTCTTCTTCTTCATCATCTTCTTCTTCACTGTCAACTTCTTCGCCATTATCATTTGAATCAATTTGAGTATTACGAGCTTGTTCTTTAACTTCTAATTCTAATTCTTCTTCTGATTCTTCAACATCCTCTTTAAAATTGGCTATTATATTTATAAAATAGTTAATAATTTTGTTGCTAAATAAAAAAAAAATAAAAAAAAGTTATATTATAAATTATATTTACCCATTGATTTATCTGAAATTTGTTTTGATTTAATAACTTTTTTATTAAATCTTCTTTGCTTTTTGATACCTTTAATATCAAGCTTTTTTGAGGCTTTCTTTACTTTAACCATTATTTATTTATATATGTATTTATTACTAGCTTTATGATACCAATAATAAAAATGATAATTATTTTTAAAAAAAAAAAAAAAAACGAATATACGAAAAAAAAAAAATTTTCGTTTTTTAAAATATTTATTTTATTTTTTTTTATTTTTTATTTTTTTAAAAATTATAAAAAATAATTTAAAAAAAAAATAATAAAAATTAAAAAATATTAATAATTTTATTTATAACTATTTATAACTATAATATTAATGATTAGAGATAAAAAACAAATATAAAAAAAAAAATAAAAAATAAAAAACCAAATAAAAGGTTATAACTCTACAAACTCAAAAAAAATTAAGATAATATTCATATCAACCAAAAAAATAATGATTTAATATATTTGTGCAATTTCTTCCATGGAAATCCTATATTTCAAGTATTTGATATACATTTCCAAAGAATATTCAAATAAGATAAGATGTCCAAAAAAAAAAACATTAATATAAAATAAATATTTTAAATTAATTTGGATATATGGAAGAATCTTTTAAAGATCCAAAAAATATTAATTATATTTTTTTTTTTTTATATTTGTTTTTTTTTTTATTTTTACAATTATTTAAAATTAATTTTTATTTTTTTTTATTTTTATTTTTATTTTTTTTTAAATTTTAATTTAATTATTTGAAAAATTCGATCAAAAAGCCCTATTTCGCTTATGTTGACCGCATTATCTATCCCAGAGTTCTCATAAAATTGTAAATAAATAAAAAAATAAAAAAAAAATAAAAATTTTATAATGTTATTATTAAATTAAATAAATTTTTTTTTTCCCATTATTAATATTATTTTTTTTTTAAACACACAACAAATATCTAACAATAATAAAACCATTAAATATATACATAACAATAAAGATTATATAATATATATATTAATATTTCTTGTTATTTTTATCTTTTTTTTTAATAAAAATAGTGTCATAATAATTTTAAATAAAACTAAAAGGAAATTTCCCTTTATAATATAAACACTTTTTCATTTTTATTTTTATCATTATTTTTCTCTTTGTTTTAAATTTAATTATTTTTTTATTTTTTTTGTAAATAGTTTCATTAATTTTTTTTTTTTCTTTTTTTTTTTTTTAATCACCCACTTTATTTAATACTGCAAAAATAATAACAACACCTGTAAATCATATTCTTTTAAATATAAAAAAAAAAAAAAAAAAAGAACTCCACCCTAAATAAATTTGTTAAACAACTATCGTATATAGAAGTGGGGGTATCATTTTTTAATTTTTTTATAATATAATTAAATAAATTAATTTTTTTTTTTTTGTATAATTGAAAATTTTTTTTTTTATTTCTTTTTCTAATTTTTTTTTGTAATTTTTTATAAACACACATTAAAATAATATAGTAATAATAGTGGGATAAATAAATAACAATAAATAAAACTTTATTGTGTAGTAATTTTAAATTAATTCTTTTTTAGGTCTAATAATAAAAAGAAATTAAATTAACACACCCCAAAATTTTAGCACACATTGTATAAATAATTAATATAATATAACACACACACAAACACTGTATATATAACACATGCACACACTCCCTCATTCAAACTAAACTAAACATTAAATATATTTTACATTTTATTCGGCCATCGTTGATCTTTTTTTCTTTTTTTTTTTATTTCTTTTTTTTTTATAACATTCTCTTTTTTTTTTTTAAATTCAATATTAATATTAATTTTATATATAATTAAAACCAACAATAAAATATAATAATAATCTCCTTTGTGAAAAGAAAAAAATTAATTTAAAATTTAATATTTTAATATTTTTTAAAATTAATAATTATTATTAAAATTTTTAAATAACAAATAAAAAAAAAGAAATAGAAATTATTCAATATTAATTAAAACATTATTAGGTCTAAAAAAATAAAAAAACTAAAAGGTATGAAAGTTTTTTACTTTTATTATATAAATTATTTTACTAATTATATTAATTATTTTAATTTTAATAGGTTTTTTATACAAGGTAAAAGAATGACATCAATGATTTTTTCAAATTCAATAAAACAAAAACAACAACAACAAAAACAAAAAGAACCAAATAAAACTATTCAAAAGAGATTATACAGAGAATCTTTTGAACATCCACCAACTCCACCACCACCTCCACCACGTAATTATTATAGTAACGAAAAATGTATAAAAAAACACCAAAAAGATAATCAAAAAGATATCGAAACAAAATACAAAATATACAACGATTTAAATATGGATGAGATCATGGTTGTACCTGAGCAAAATGATAATAAACTATCACAAGAACTATTAATCAATGAACAGATGGAATTCGAAATGCAACTTGATCAAGAAATGATTGATGAATGTGAAATAAAAGCTCAAAATAAAACAAATGAAAATGAACAAAGCCTAGATGACAATGGTGATGAAAATGAAGAAATAGAGGAAGAAATTGTCAAATTCAATACTCATCTTGATAGAGATTCAATAGTTAAACAGTTTTCACAAGATTTTAATGAATCGGACAGTGACTCTGATGACAGCGAAAGTGAAGAAGAAGATTATTCCAACGATGACTCTGATGACTCTGACTATATTGAAAACAATGACTCTATCAAACGTTCTTCAAATGGCCGTTACTATTTCGATAACAATTCCTATTTTTATCAAAGAGCCCAACAACCAAAGCAATATCACATTTATGCCGATAACTCTCTCAGAATGGAATTAATAGAAATTTTAACAATTATGAAAAACAATGAAAGGGAAAAGCCAAATGTAGAAGAAGTTTTTGTACATGAAATTATTCTTTAGAGAAAAAACAACAGAAACAACAACTATCACAATCAAAAAAGAAAAAAAGAAATTTGTAATATTTTTTAAAATAATATTCATATTCTTTATATATAATTCTATTTATCATTTGTAAATATCAAATATTGGACTAAAATAAAATATATATTATTACGATTTCTTTTTTTAATACAATATAATATTAAAAAAAGTAATATATATTAATTTTGTGTGTATCCAAGCAAAAAAAAAAAAACAAAATAAAAAAAACTAAAAAATTAAAATTATTATAAATATTTTTATTATTATTATTTTATTTTACTTTCTTAGTTTTCGAAAAACACTTGTAATAAACTATCTTCTGTAGGAACACCAACTCTTAACTGTTTATTTTAATAAAATAAAATTAGATTTTTTTTTTTATATATATAAATATTTAATAGTAAACTTACAACCATAGTTCCTAAAAAGCTTCTGCAACCTTGGCCAGTATGTACATATAAATAATTGTTACCATTTTGCCATAAAGAATGATCAGGCATACCAGTTAAACCAACTAAGCTTATATTAACACCAAGACAATTTAAACCAATTTGACCACCGTGTGTATGACCTGAGAATGTTATTAAACCATATTCTGGTGGAATGAATTTAAAAGCTCCTGGATCATGAAGCAAACCAATTCTTGGTACACCTGGGATTGGTGGATATGATGAACAAACTTGGGTGATATGTTCTTGTCTTTGATTTTTTCGATAATCAAAACCAACAATTTGAACTTTACCAATTCCTAAATTTAATTAAATAAAAAAATATTATTAATATTTTATAATTATTATGTAAAATAAAACCTATGAAATATAATTTACTTGTTTCAACCAAAACACATCTATCCACTAGCAAAGTACAATTAATTGATTCCAATGCTCTTTCTAAAATTTCTAAACATCCTTCTTCATAATCATGGTTACCCACTATTAATAATAAAAAAAATAGGTTAATAAAAAGAATATTTTAATTTAAAAAAAGGTGAGGTTACATACAACAAGCAAAAAGTTTATGTGATGGTAGTTTTTTTAATGGTGATAAGGCAATCTCTAAAGAATTTTCTGGATTAAATGATTCGGTGGTAAAGAAATCACCTGTAAGTAATACTAAATCTGGGTTGAGTTTGACTGTATTTTCACAAATTTCTTGAAGACGTTCGATTGACATCATTGGACCAATATGTGGATCTGCAATTTGGATGATTGATAATGGTTGTTTAAAGTCGACAATTTCAGTATCTTTTGGAGTTTTTGAAACTACACGTTTCATTGAACGCTTGGTGATTAATTGATCATCCTCTTCGACCGAGGATTTAACGTAAATTTCTTTGACTGACCATTTATTTGGTGATCTAGTTCTTAAAGTTTGGAAAATACCAATTAAACCGAGTGCAAATGGTAATAACATTAAAAATGATGAAATTTTTGGTGGAATGAAACCGACAAAAAGATACAATGGAATTGAGAGGATAATTGATGTGAAAAATATGGATGATGGGTATGAAATTAAATAAAGATATGGCTTTGAACGCAAGGAGCATTGTGCTAAAAGAGAGTACTGAAGGAATACTGTAAAATGGAAATAAAGTACTACAACGATAATTAGCCAACTAATACCACTATACTCTTTAGTTTCTTCGTCATAGAATGGTCTAACCAAGTACATTGCATATAGGACCAAATATAATGAATAAAATAGGAAACTGAGTGCCATTAAAATAACGATTGGTTTCGACTTGATATATGGTTTTGCACCATGAACTTTGTAAAAGTAAACTATAAATAATGCCATTGCAATTGAAGATAAACCAAAAGCTGTTAAGGGTATATCCAATCCTCCTGGTGAAACTTTATTTGCTATAACATAGGAGGCCACTGGTAATGATATTGCCAATATTACCATTATAACCAATGCAAATTTCTTTACTGGATGTCCTAAAGTGTTCGAGTTTGAATTTGGAATTTGAGATTTTGGTTCAATAAATTTAATAAAGTCGTCAGATAATGGCTGATGCTGTAATGATGATAATGAATGACTATTAATTGATTTTGTTGATTTGATCTCTGGTGTGTGATCTGAATCGTCCCATTCTTCTTCTCTCATTAATGACATTGTTTCTTGTCCCTCTTTTGTTGTTTTATTCTTTCTATTTTTTATCATGAAGGTGTATGTGATGGTCTCTTTTTAATAAATATTTTTATTTTTTATTACTTTTAATCATAATTTAATGATATCATAAATAAATTAAAAAAAAAAAACAAAAAAAATAAAAATTTAAAAAATTAAAAAAAAAAAATTAAATATTTTAAAAAAAAAATTTTATTACCTTTTTTTCTGAATAACTATTATTCTGAAAAATATAAAATAAACAAAAATAAAATAAAAAAGGAAAAAAAAAAAAAAATATTTGGTTTGTAAAAAAGCTATTTATAAAACTTTTTTTTTTTTTTAAAAAATATTATTTTTTTAAATATTTTATATAGTAACTATTTAATTTAACGTTTTATTTAAATATTAAATATTATTTTTTAAATGATACCGATATTGTTTTACCTCCAACTTGGATACCATTAATAGAATTGATAGCTGCATAAGAATCGGGTAAGCTTAACATTCTGACAAAACCGTAACCTTTACAAACCTGGGTATTTGGATCACGAACAATTTTAACGCTAGCAATTGCACCAGAAGGTGAGAAAAGTCTGTATAAAAGTGCATCATCTGCATCGCTTGGTAAATTATAAACGTAAAGATTGGTTGGATCTTGTGTAATGGTTTTAGTAGTTAAAATTGGTGGTTGCATAATTGGTGATAAAGTTGGTAAAGTTGGCATAGTTTGGTAATATGGATACATTTGTGTAATTGGTGCAGCTATTGGGGATGGATATGGTGAAAATCTCATATTTAATCTTTGTTTTTGTTGAAGTTTTTGTCTTTCTATAATTAAAAACAAATAAAAATGTTAATATTTTCATCGTTATTATATATATATATATATACTACTATTCAATTTACTTTGTTTTTTTTCTTCGTCATTTTCAGCAAATTTTACAATTAACGGTTTATCTGGATCTTGTATAATGTAACCATTAAGTTCTTTAACTGCATTGGATGCAGATTGAACATCGCCGTATCTTACTAATGCTTGACCTCTGCTTGCACTTGTTGATATATCTGTTAAAATTTTAGATTCTAAAATTTCACCATGTGGTGAAAATAGTGCTTTTAATTGATCCATTGTATATTCAGTTGGTAAACCTTTAATAAAAACATTATTACTAGCTATTGCATTTGTATTTGCCTCATCTACACTTTGCTGTTGTTGTTGTTGTTGCTGTTGTTGTTGTTGAATTGGTTCTGAATTTGCAAATCTAACCAATAATGTTTTATTATCAACTTTCATACCATTCATTGAGTTGATTGCATATTGTGCTATACAAAAAATAAAAATAAAAAACAGAATTAATATTTAAATGCAACATTCATTAAAACTAAAGTTTAATTGTTAATTTACCTGATGCTACATCTTTAAACTTTACAAAACCAAAACCCCTGCTTAATCCTGTATTTAAATCTACCATTACTTTACAACTATCAATTTCCCCAAATGGTGAAAATAAAACTTTTAAGCTTTCATTTGTATATGTTGATGGTAAAAAACTAACAAATAAGTTACCTGAATTGGCACTACTTCCATTTGAGCTATATTGTGATGTTGATGACATTATATTCTATGATCTGTGTGTGTGTGTATATGATTTGTATTGTTTGGATTTTTTTTATTTTTTGAATGTTTTATTGATTCTGTGTGATGTATGTGAATGCGTGTGGATGTGATGAGGGTGTATTTTTATGTTATTAAATTCTTTTTAATTTTATTCGTAAAAATACAAATATAAAATTCTATATGTTATAAAATATTATAATAAAATTTGATTAAAAACTACAAATGATTAAAAAAATATTGAAAAAAAAAAAAAACAGAAAAAAAAAAAAAAAAAAGTCTATTCTAAAATTCGCCTATTCAAGATGCATATAGTTACAATTATTCATCAAGCAATAGAAAAAAAAAATTTTTAAAAAAAAAAAAAAATTTAAAAAAAATTTAAAAAAAAAATTCAAAAAAAAAAAAGAAAATTGATTAGTTTTTTTTGCCCATAAAAAAAAATAAAAAAAAATAAAAAGAAAAAAAAAAAGAAAAAAAAAATAAAAATTAGATATTTACCCCAATTTTATTTGGTTTTAAATTATTTTGAAGATTTATTAAACAATCTTTAAAAAGTTAAAAAAAAAAAAAAAAAATTAAACAATCTTTAAAAAGTTAAAAACAAAAAAAAAAGATCGATATTATTATGGGTGCTAACAAGGGTACCCCATTTTGGTTCATCCGATACTGGAGATGCTTTTCATGGATCAGGTTCCAAAGAAGAATCCATAAAAAAAGTATTTTTTTCCAAATTTTATAGAAAAAAAAAAAACAAAAAAAAATTAAAAATTTTTTATCATTTTTAGGGTTGTTGTGTAAAAAACAACAATAATAATAAATATTAAATTGTGTACTATAATTTGAATAGACAGATGCTAAAAATAACTTGATGAAATATGAGATTACTTTTTTGTTTTAACCCCACTCTTAACACAACCCCTTCATGTAAAAAAAATTTTATTTTTATTTATTCACAAACACCACAACCAACTTTCGATTTTTCCTATTTTAATGTTTTGTTTATTTTTATTTATTCTTATCCAAATAACTATAAATAATAATAATTAATAAAAAAAAAATTTTAAATACAAGTTCAATTTTTGTTATTTAATACAATATTGTATTATTTAATAATATTATTAATTGTGAATAACCAACTATTATTACCAAACGTTATTAATAATATCACATTTTATTTAATTTAGATTTTTATTATTTTATTTTATTTTATATTATTATTATTTAACATTTTTATTAAAATTAAATTATTAAATTATTATATTTTTGATAAAATGTAAAAACAAACATTTTACAATTTACAATTTAAAATTTTTTTTAAAAAAATAAAAAAAAAAAGGAAAAAAATAAATAGATAAAATGAATGAAATAAAATGATTTTGATTAATAATAAATTACTATTATAATAAAACAAAAAAAAATAAAAAAAAAATAAAAAAAGAAAAAGAAAAAAATATAAAAAATAAAAAAAAGTTTTTTTTTAATTTTGAAAATAAAATCAAATTTGGAGTGAACTTCAAAAAAAATTTTATTTATTTATTTATTTTGTATTCTCGAAATCTCTGAATTATTTATTCAAATTTTTAAATTTTCTTTTTTTTTTTTTTTTTTTTTTTTGGGGGTTTACTTTACCCAATTTTATTATTTTACCCACCAACCCCCCCCCACCCATATAATTACCAAATAATTATAAATTTACCGAAAAAAAAAAAAAAAAAAAATTGTTTTTTTTAAATTTTTATTTTTTTTAAAAATTTTTTTAATTTTTTTTAAATTTTTTTTTCCCAACAACACCACAAAAACTTCAATTTTTTTTTATATTATTTTTTTATATTTATTATTATAAAAATATATATATATAAACAAAATATTTTTTGGAAATTTTTTTTTTTTAATAATTCAGAAAACAAAAAAATAAAAAAAAAAACAAAAATAAAGAAAAAAAAACAGTAAAAAAAAAAGTTTTTTTTTAAATAACAAATAATAATAGATAGATAATAAATAATAATATTATTTAAAATCAAACTAAACAACAAATAATTAATTGTATTATATATGCGTTGTGTGTGTAAATATATTTAAAATCAAGCATATTTTTTCAAGCTATTCAATTGTTTAGAAATAATTTTTTAAAAAAAAAAGAAAAGCAAATTTTAATATCAAAAATATATTTTAATTTTAATAAAACAAATAAACAAAAAAAAAAAGAAGCGTAATTAATTTTGTGTATATATATATATAAATAAAATAAAATAAAAAAAAGATGGGTGAATTCAATGATGTAGATAGATATATTTCAATTTTAAAGGAATGCAAACCTTTATCAGAAAGTGATGTCAGGGATTTATGCGACAAAGCACGTGAAATTTTATCAAAAGAATCAAATGTACAACCAGTTAGATGTCCAGTTACAGTTTGTGGTGATATCCATGGTCAATTCCACGATCTTATGGAGTTATTCAAAATTGGAGGCAATTGTCCAGATACCAATTATTTATTTATGGGTGATTATGTCGATAGAGGTTTTTATTCAGTCGAAACTGTTACTTTATTAGTTGCTTTAAAAGTTCGTTATAAGGATCGTGTCACAATTTTAAGAGGTAATCACGAATCAAGACAAATTACTCAAGTGTAAGTATTACGTCTTTTTTTATTTTTTTTTTATTTTTTTTTTTTTTTAAAAAAAACTGGGTATTAATTTTTTTTTTTCAATTTTTTTTTATCTTTTTATAGATATGGTTTTTATGATGAATGTTTAAGAAAATACGGTAATCCAAATGTTTGGAAACTTTTTACAGATTTATTCGATTATCTCCCATTAACAGCTTTAATCGAAAACCAAGTATTTTGTCTTCACGGTGGTTTATCTCCATCAATCGATACATTAGACCACATTGAAAATTTAGATCGTGTTCAAGAAGTACCACACGAAGGTGCTATGTGTGATCTTTTATGGTCCGATCCAGATGATCGTCTTGGTTTTGGTTACTCACCAAGAGGTGCTGGTTACACATTTGGTAAAGATATCTCTGAACAATTTAATCATAACAATGGTCTCACTTTAGTCGCTAGAGCTCATCAACTTGTCATGGAAGGTTATAATTGGTGTCACGATCAAAATGTAGTTACAATTTTCAGTGCTCCAAATTATTGTTATAGATGTGGTAATCTTGCTGCTATAATGGAAATTGATGAAAAAATGAAACACACTTTGTATGTATTATTATAAATATTATTTATATTATTACTCTATACACTAACACTTTTATTATTTATTTTTTTTGCTTTCTATTAGCCTTCAATTTGACCCAGCCCCAAGAAGAGGTGAACCACATGTAACTCGTCGTACTCCGGATTACTTTTTGTAAAAAATCAATATTAACACATTATTTCAATTGTTTCCTTTTATCGTTAAAAAATAATAATAAATTATTTGTACCATCATTATTTTCCTCCTCATAATATAATAATATACCAAAAAAAAAACAAACAAAAAAAAAAAATTAAAAATTAAAATCTAATCTCTAATTAAATAATAATACATGTATTACTTAAACTAAAAACTAAAAAAGCTATTCTTTATTATTCCTCTTTTAATAATATTTCTTTTGTTTTAAATTACCAATATTTCTTTTTTGTGTATAATTTATTTTTATTTATTTATTTTTTTATTTTTTTTTTTAAAATTAAATTTAGATATATATTTATGTATAATTTATTTAAATTGAATTCTTTCTTAAACAAACCATACAAAGATTATGTTTAAGTTTTGGTGTGGCACATTTTGAACAAATTGTATAATGATGAATATTGTGATATTTCTTTGCAGAGTTTCTCTTACGATTTCTGGTATAACTGACTCTCTTTTTTTGGTACTGCAGTTAATTCAATTTCAGTATTTTCTTCAGTGGGGATTTCCATTTTTGGTTGTTCTACTTGTTGTTGTGGGGGTTGTTGTGGTTGTCCTTGTGATTGAATGAATGGTTGGGTTGGAATAATACAATTACTTTGTCTGAATGGTGTAACTGGGGTAGCAAATTTTCTACCATTGTTTAATAATTGAGATAATAAACTTCTTTGCATTTTATGGTTTATATATTGGGTATATAGTTGTATATCTGTATGTGTATTGTTAGGTTGATCAATATAATTCTATAATTTCGAAATTGATTCAGTATATGTGGTTTTTTTGAGTTCTTTTTTTATTTTTTATTTATTTTTTGATAATATATACACTTATTTATTTTTTAATTGAAAATAAAATAAATAATAAAAGAAATCTTGATGTTATTGTTTTGTTGATTGATTTAATATGCAAAACTTTCTTGTTCGTTTTTTAAAAAAAATAAAAAAAAATTTAAAAAAAAAAATAAAAAAAAAAAAAATAAAAAAAAAAATAAAAAATTTTTTATAAAAAAAAAAAAAAATTTATTACAGTTTTTGGAATATTATAGTTTTATAAATAAATTGTAAACCTTTTTATATTTTTTTTAAAAAAAAAGTTAATAACTAAGAATTAATAAAGAATACAAATTATTAAAATTAAAATATCCATATCCTTTTTCTTTTAATCATCTTGGTTTAACAATTTTACAATGAAATACTTTTACAAGAAAAGTTTTGTTATAAGTTGATAAAATTAGTTTTGTTTTTATTTATTAAAATTTTAAAGGGTAAATTTAATGACCCCAGTGTTTTTTGTGTGGGTCTGAGTGGTGTTGTTTTGGTTTAGACCAATGGGTTGGTTCACGCTTTACTAAAGAAACACCATTTTCACCAAAGGAGTCAGATACTAAACCCGATGCAATGTTTGATTTCATTGATGAACTAGTGCTTGAAAGTGAGGTAATTGAATCTTTATAAAAAAAAAAAACAATTAATATATTAATAGTTTATTTTAACTTTTATATAATACTTACTAAAGATCATTTTGTTTTTTTTTTGTTTTAAAAATTTAATAATTAAAAACTATTTATACTTTTTTTTTTAAAATAATAATTTTGAAATTTAAGATTATCTGATATGTGGTAATATTTTTTTATATAAGACTTTAAATATTAATAATGGGTCAATATGTATTTCCCCATATTAATAAAGGGAACAATTAGAAACCCTGTAGAGATTAAAAATTATTATTATCCTCATTTTTTACCGATTATCTTATTTATTTTAAATTTTATTAAAAATTTTATTTATATCATTATAAATTATATTATACAAAAAATTGATACATACCCTTGGGTATTAATGTAATGAAATATTTTTAAGACCACCATTGGTTTGTGTAATGTTTTGTGATCAATTCTCCATACCCCTTCATAATATATCCCGACAGATGGTTCTTTAACATTCTACTGGTAAAGAACTAAATGATTTTTTGCTCAAAAAAAAAAAAAATTATGAAAAAGTAGATAAAATATCCAAAAACTACAAACTTGAGTTAAACACATAATTTGTTATACACACCACATAGAAATCAAAAAATTCTATGGTATTTATAATTACCAATTTTATTTATTTTATTTCAAAAAAATTAAACTGGTTAAAAAAATAAGTTTATTTATTTTTGTTTTCTTCTTCTCTTTTTTTAATAAAGTTTCTAAGTCTTTCGCTCTTTTCGCTTTTGGTAGATCTCCAGCCCCTTGCTTTTCTAATAATCTCTTCTTCTGATAAACGAACTGGTGATTGTGACACAATATCGCTGGTATAACTCATATTAATTTCATTATTTTGAGGCCCAGATTCTTCTCTTTTTCTTTCTCTTTCCCTTTGTCTTTTTCTTTTTCTTTCTCTTTCCCTTTCTCTTTCTCTTTCTTCCTCCTGTTCATCCATTGATTTAAGAATTTCGCCTAAACTATAGTATTTTACCTCTTGTTTTTCTTCTTCTTCTTTTTCTTTTTCTTTTTCGTTTTGCTTTTCTTTTTCTCTTTCTCTTTCTCTTTTTCTTTTTCTTTCTCTTTCTCTTTCTCTTTCTCTTTCTCTTTCTCTTTCTCTTTCTCTTTCATCATTTTCTTCTTTTTCTTTTCTTTCCTTTTCCCTCTTTTTTTCATCTTGTATCATTTCCTTTCTTTTTTGATGTGAATAGAAATTACCTTTTGAATTATTTGATGATTTGTTTCTTTCAATCCATGCATCCTTACTGCTAAATTCATTGTCTGAGTCTTCTTTATTTACCCTATTATTTATTATATCATCAATTGTATTATTCATATTATCTATATTATTCATATTGACATTATTACCACTACTATTATTGTTTTTATTTTGACTATTTTGTGATTTTAATTCTTTTTCATCGTCGCTGTCAACAAATCCCATACCCTCTCTTTCCTCGTTATCATTACTGCTATGGTTTTGACTGTTGTAAGAAGATATTTTTTGATCTAAAGTTGAGGGAATTTGGTTATAGTTGTTATTGAATGATATGTCGGTAGATTTATTTGCAAGTATATCACCATATTTATCGCTTTCATCATCTGTAAAACTAAAACCTCTTGATTTTATTTTTCTCTCATTTTCTAATAATTGTCTATGTTGCTGATTTGAAACAAAACCAATTGGGTCAAATGATTGGTCTTCTTGTGATCCACTAGTAGTATTATTAATTTCAATATTTCTCTTATATTTTGTTTTTCTATTTGATGTTTCACTTTCAGACTCTTCAGTTTCGCTATTATTACCATTATTATTATTATTTTCAAATAGTTCATTTAAACAAGCTATAACATTTTCAGCATCACCTTCATTTAGGCTATCAATATTTGGAATTTCACTTTGATTATTATAATAGTGTTTAATAGTTTGGTAGTCAATACCTAAAAAGTCAATAACATTTAATCCTTTTAATTTAAGCAAATCTAAAAATTTTGTAACTCTTATTTCATTATTATTATTGTTATTATTGTTGTTATTGTCACCACTATTGTTATCGTTATTATTATTTCTTTCTCTTTTTTTTTCTTTTTTACGTTCGTAAAGGATTTGCTTTAGTCTATACTGTTGATCAGTTTTATATATATCATTGTTTTCATATATTCTGTACGGTTTTTCTTGTCTTTCCCAATGAATTTGTCTAAGTTTATCTTTTTGCTCTTCTGAAATTATTGACTCCTCTGCATCAATTTGATATTGATGAATATTTGTGTTGTTAATTGGAATATATTTGGCAGCTAATGAAGGTGGCGATGAAATTACCCAATAGTTTAGTCTATTCATTCTTTTAATAATTTCAAATACTTGCTTATTAGTTTCGATCAATTTTAATTCTGGATAGTTAATAATATCACTACCTTTGTTGTATATAGTTGCCTGGAATACAAAAATTTCAACACTTGTATAGTTCTTATTGGGACCAAATATATAGTTATCTAATCTTAATGTAATACCAGATAAGACTTGAAAATTATTAACATATTGATGGTTTGGATTGATTTCTTGTAAAATATTTTTTGCTAATTCATCTGAGAGTATACCAACAATAATATTTCTGCCATCTGAAAATGTAAATGGTAACCCTGTTAATTTATTACGTGGAACACCATTAATAACTCTATCAAATTGATCCTTTAAAAAATGAGAGAATAAAATTAATATTTAATACTGTTGATAAGGGTAATTCTTTTTTTTACTTACATAGTATCTGACAAATTGGACCAAGGGTAATTCTGGTAGTTTTTGTGATAAAATTGCATCTGTGAACCATGGTTGGTTATCATTAAGATCATAAAGATCATTTCTATGGATATTATTTGTAGGTAGTTTTTCTGCATCTTGATTAGAATTTTGAGTGAAAAAATCAATTTTATTATTATTATTATTATTATTATTATTATTATTATTATTATTATTATTATTATTATTATTATTATTATTATTATTATTATTATTGTTATTATTATTATTATTATTATTATTTAATATATTTGAGGTAGAAGTGGATGTGGTAGTTGTAGTAGTTGTGGTTACTGTTTTATTTTTTAACGATTCTGTATCAAAAGTTGAAGGCAGTATTTCTGATGCTGAATTTGAAATCGGTATATTTGGTGATGCTGTAAAATTTTCTATTTGGCCTTCACTATCCTCCTCCTCATCTTTTTCATTTTGTGTATTGTGTGATTTGCCTGGTGAGACTACATTTGATACATTTTTTAAAACTTTATTTTTAATACTATTGCTGTTTGGAATAGAGTTTGAACCAAAAGAAGGAGTGATGCCATATAATTGTTCAGCAATTTCAAATCCTGACAATGATGATGAATAATCTAAATTTGATTTTTCTACTTCTATTTGAATTAAATTTTCTTTTGAAAAAATATCATCACTATCTTCACTATCTTCGCCATCCTCACTATCTTGACTGGCACTACTATCCTCGCTATCCTCACTACGGTTATCTTGTTTTATCGAACTTTTGGTTACCTGCACTTTTTTTATGACCGTTTGCTCCTCTAGTATCTCTTGTTTATAGTTTGTATTGGTTTCGTTATCCTCTGTCTCCTCCATTTCCTCATCTCGGTTTTCTATATCTTTATGGTGCTGGGTTTTCTTTATAGTACTTTCTATTTCTACCAACTTTTCGTATTCTTCTACATCTTTTTCATTAACAAATTCTTCATCGATTTGACTGACAAGAATTTCTACATCTTCAATTTCATCCTCTAAAGTTTGTTGCTGCTTTACATTATTATTATTATTATTATTGTCATCGTCGACATCTTGAATTTCGTCTTTTTCCGAAATATCAAAGCTTACATCCTCGATTGGATCATCTTCTATTTCTATTAAAGTATTCTTTTTATTTCTTTTATTATTGTTGTTATCACTACTACTATTATTTTTTAAAGACATTTATTTTTAACATTTAAATAATTCTTATATTTTTAAAAAATAAAATAAAAAAAATGAAAAAAATAGTTTTTAAAATTTTAAAAATTGGAAAAAAAAAAAAAAAAAAAAAAAAAAAAAAAAAAAAAAAATTAAAAAAAAAAAAAAAAAAAAAAAAAATTAATTTAGAATAAAAAAATGTATATTATTTTAATATTTCTGTTGATTAAAGATAATGTTTATAAATATATAATTGATTTTATTTTATTTTGGTTTAATATACACATATTAACCTTTCATTTTTCTTTTTTTAATAAACTATAAAAACCAAAAAATGTAAATTAAATTTTTTTTTAGTTGAAATTTTTTTTAATTTAAAAGAGATTTTTTGAGGTCTTTATTAAACTATTTAAGCTAAAAGGTTTTATTTTTTTTGTTTTTAATCTGTAAAAAAACTTTAAAACTTCACTAAAATTTATTTTATTGTATTTAGTTATAAGAAATAAAGAAATGTTAATGGTATTGTAAGTTTTTTAAAACTCAGCATGCTCCAATCTAAAAAAAAGAATTATAATAGTAATATTAGTATTAATTTGAAAGGAAATTATTATCAACGAATAACTCACAAATGGTGGAAAAAAAAAATTAAAAAAATAAAAAAGTTATATATATTACTTAAAAATTTAAAAATAAAAATAGAAAAAAATTTTTAAATTGAAAAACAGTGTATTTTGTGATTATTTTTTTTTAAGATTTAGATTTTATAATACAAAAAACGATCTATCTAATCGAAGACTATATTTTATTTTAAATATTTTTAATCTGGTTAGTCCAATTCGAACTGACTTTAACAGATTTTTAAATTAGAGAAAATTAAATTAATTTAAACTTTTGGGTATGAGGCCATTGAAGCAATACCACAGTTATTGTTACGATCTATAATTTTTGAAAAAAAAAAAAAAGAATATTAGTAATTTGTTTAATAATAGTATAATTGAATTTTATGTAAATGTTTTATAATTACCTTTTGACATTAAAATGTAACCTTCCATACCCCAACCGGTACCCCATGAGTTTTTAACGATCCAGTAGTTACCTGAACCTGATTGAAGTAAACCTGATTGTGAACCAGATTGTGAACCAGATTGTGAACCAGAATATGAACCTGATTGTGAACCTGATTGTGAACCAGAATATGATGAACCTGAACCAGATTGTGAACCTGATTGTGAACCTGATTGTGAACCAGATTGTGAACCAGATGATTGTGAACCTGATTGTGAACCAGATTGTGAACCTGATTGGGATGAACCAGATTGTGATGATTCAGATTGTGATGATTCTGATTGTGATGAACCGTTTTGTGATGAACCTGAACCTGATGAACCGCTACCGTAACCAACAACTAAAACACCGTGATCTAATTGAGTGGTTGAACAGGCTGGTTCATAATAGATACCTGATGAATATAATTGGAAAGAGTTGTGTGAAGCATCGATGGCAACTGAAACTGGGTTAACGTTGGCAGCTGATTCTAATGATGATTCTGAACCTGAGGTAACATTGTTGTATGATGATAAAGTGGCACCAATATTTGCGGTTTTGAATTTACAAACAGTACCAGTTTCAGCAGTGTATGGGTATGAACTTTCAGTATCAATACCTTTGTTGTTGATGATGTATTCGAAAGCTAAGGTCATTAAACCACCATTGCAACCGTCATTACCGTATGAACCTGAACAATCGATTAAATTTTGTTCAGATAATGAAACGAGGTTACCAGTTGAAATTTGGTGGGCACCTTCAGTTGAACCAGTAGTTGAGAATGACCAACAACCACCACTATTTTAATATTAAAATATATAAAAAATAATTAATATTAAATTTTTTTTTTTTTTTAAAAATGAAATATTTAGTTAAAACTTACCATTGTTGTTGATTTTTAATTGGGGTGACAGCACCTTTAGTTCTCCAATCAACGGTAGCAGCTGGAGCGGCAAAGATTTTTTCGGTTTCAGTACCAACGATGCTTGAGGCATCAAATGGAGTACCTAAATAGTTGGCTCTGTATTCTTGGTTGGTGATATCAGCAAAAGCATTTAAACCAAGGATGGTTTCACTACCTTTAGAGTTCCATTCTTGAACGTAATCCATGTTAGCTTTGAAGATATTGTAACGGGTGGCAAATTCTTCTGAAGCATAATGTCTTTGGTTTTGGATCATCCAATTGGTGAAGGCATTTCTGTATTGTAATTCAGAGAATTGTTGTTTGGCAGTGGCAAAGCTGACTAATAATAAACATAAAAATAATAAAACTCTCATTTTTTTATATATATATAAAAATATATTTGTGATTGTTGGGATGGAAAAAATAAAAAAGAAAAAAAATAATATTTATATGATACCAAAAAACTACGAAAAAAAAATAAAATAAATAAAAAAAAAATAAAAAAAAAATAAACGGATGGGCTTTAATGTAAAAAGAATAGGAGAAAGAAAAGTAGTTGGAGAAAACCCATAATTTTTTTTAATTTTAGATAGTTTTATAGGCGAAAAATAGGAGTTATTATTAATTTTTGGATAAATTTTCAAAACCATGTGGAAACGGTTTTTTAAAAATTTTTTTTTAATTTATTTTTTTTATTTTCCTACTTTCTAAAATTTTTTTTTTAATAAATATCTTTTATAAAATATTTAAGGCATAGAAATTTCAAAAGAAAAATTAATGTAGGATATTTTCATTAGGTTTTTATTTTATTATTTTTTTTTTGTGCAAAATACCATGAAATTTTTTTAATCATTTTCTTCAGAATATTACAATTATAAAAAAAGTGTGAAATCTTTCCTTTATTGATGTTGTGTACTTTGATATTTTATTTAAAATGGTTTGGTTTTATCATCGGTTTGGGAAAAAAAAAAAAAAAAAAAAAAAAAAAAAAATACATCACATTGTTGAAAAAAATATGATTTTTCTTGCAAATAAAAATTATCATTTGAAAATATTCAAAAAACTTTACCATTTCACAATAAAAATTAAAAAATATTAGGCATAAAAAATATTTCGAATATTCTTATGACAATTTTATTTAATTTTTTTTTTAAAAATTTAAAAGGATGGAATTATAAAATTATTGGATGGGTTTTAATGGTTAATAATTACAAATTGATTGCTTATTTATTGATTTAATTTACAATTACATCACAAGTTACATTTTGGTGTTCTCAGACAAACGAACATTTGATAATACCCACATTCAAAAGTAGCTTCTTCATTTTAGATTTAATTTTATGGAGTCGTAAAATGGACTTGCAGAAGAGCGATTAAAGTTATTATTTTTCAATAATGATCATTTATTGTTATGCCACTTTTGTAAACATTGTTATTTTATGTTGTTAATTTGAATGATTCAATGTATGGATGATAACCGATTATTAGCACCTAATGGGTGTCTGAGATAATAATAGATATCTAGTAACCTTTTTTTTTTCATTCTTTTTACATATTTAAACCTACTTTTTTTTAAAATAATTGCAGATGTTTTATTATTTCAACCAATACTGTTTGATTGCCAAAAAGGTGATGAAAATGTGGTGTTTTTTTACTTTATTTTTTATAAAAATTATAATTATATATTATAAATAAATAAATAAATAAATAAATAAATAAATAAATAAATAAATAAATAAATAAATAAATAAATAAATGATTTTAAATTTTTTTTAAAGTTTAATTAGAATCTTTTTTTTTTTTTTTTTTTTAATTTTTTTTTAAAAATTGAAAAAAAAAGATTTTTTAATTTTTTTTTATTTTATTTTTTTTTTTTCTTTTTTTTTTTTTTTTTTTTTTTAATTTTTTATATTTTTTTTATTTTATTTATATATTTCAATATACTAAATTAAAAATAAATGAATAATTGGAAAAAATTTACATTTTTTGATTTAGAACAAGTTAAACAAACAGAAAGTGATGGGCAATCATTACAGGTACCCTATTTAATATAATCTATAGTTTTAGTTTTTTTATAAAAGATATAATATTAATTATTAATAATTAATTTTTAAATTTTAGAAATTATCAATTACATGTACAACTAGTGGTCGTGGTAGTTTAATTATTGGTGATGCAGAGGGTTTTATTAATTTTGTAGATAGAGAATTTGGAATTTCATCATTTCAAGCATATCAACAATCAGTAACTTTTATTTATCAATTAAAAGAAAGAAATTTCCTTTCGTCCATTGGTCATGATGATACTGGTGCAGCAATTTTAAAAATTTGGAATTTAGATAAAACTGATAAAAATGATATACCAATTTGTGTTAGATCAATTAGATTGGAAAGAGCGATTACTGTAAGTTTATAACTATAGTTATGAATCAAATCTAATGCATGCACCACCCACCACCATCACCACCATCACTCAATATGCAGAGTTTATTAATATTTTTTCAATACTACTACTACTATTGTTGTTATGACAATCATTATTTAGGTTACATGTTTTACATTATTAGAAGATTTATCACAGATTATTATTGGTTTAGCAAATGGTGAAATTATTTTAATTAGAGCAGATATTTTTAGAGATAAAGTTATTAAACAAAAAATCATTAAGGTTCCAAAGGATTCACCAATTACAGGTATGGCATTCTTCCCAACCAAAGTAACAGGTCCATCACAAGGCCCAATATTGTTTGTAGTTTCAACTAGTCATGTTTTAACCTACCACACTGCACATAAAGATCACGAAACTATTATTGAAGAGGAGGGTGGTGAATTAGGATCATTTATAATGAGCGATGATGGCTCTCCAATCATTGCAAGAAATGATGCAATTTATTTCTATAATGCTGATGGTAGAGGTCCATGTTTTGGTTTTCAAGGTGTCAAAACAAAGGTATTATGGTTCCGTTCATATTTAGTGGTCGTTGGTTACGAGTCAAATAACAATGCATTGTTTCCAGGTACAATTGGTAATGCTCCTGGATTTAGTTCACCAGGTGGCAGTATGGGTAGCATGCAAACAAAGAACAATGTTTTAAACATCTACGACTTAAAGAATAAATATATTGGTTACACAGATAAATTTGAAACAATTAATCATATTTGCAGCGAATGGGGTAGTATTTTTATAATTTGCTCTGATGGTAAAATCTATCAATTGGAGGAGAAAGATACACAGACCAAACTCGAAACCCTCTTCAAGAAACACTCATATCAAGTTGCAATCGATTTAGCAAAGTCTCAACATTATGATAACAGTGCCATTGCCGATGTCTACAGAGAGTATGGTGATAGATTGTATGCCAAAGGAGATTATGATGGAGCTATTGCCCAATATCTTTGCACCATCGGTCAGTTAGAACCATCCTATGTTATTCGTAAATTTTTAGATGCACAAAGAATCCACAACCTTACATCCTATATTCAAGCACTTCATGAAAAGAATCTTGCTACAGCAAATCACACTACTTTACTTTTAAATTGTTACACCAAGCTCAAAGATGTTAAAAAATTGGATCATTTCATTATGACTGATAATGGCACATTCGACGTTGAAACCGCTATTAAAGTATGTCGTCAAGGTAACTATTTTGAACGTGCATTGTTTTTAGCATCCAAGCATAATAGACATGAATGGTATCTCAAAATTCTATTGGAAGATTTACACGAGTATAGAAAAGCATTAGATTATATCCAAACATTAGAATGGGAAGAAGCAGATAAAAATTTAAAGAAATATGGTAAACAATTAGTATCAGAAATTCCAGAAGAAACTACAGGCGTTTTAATGAAACTTTGTACAAATTACCAACCAGTTCAAGCATTTGATTCATTGTCAAATTTAAAATTTGGATTTGATAACTTAAAATTAAATCAACAAACACAAACCCAACAACATCCAAATGGAAATAATTCTTATAATAATAACAACAACAATAATAATAATTACAATAATCCAAACAATTCAAATAATATCAATAATTTAGAAAAATCATCACCAGAGGAGTTTATTCATATTTTCGTTTCAAAGTCAGAATGGTTAGTAAAGTTTTTAGAATATATGGTACAACAAAATATAGAGTCACCAGCTGTATACAATACTTTATTAGAACTTTATTTAAGAGAGGATCCAAATTTAACAGCAGAAGAAAAAGTTAAAAGAGTAGATAAAGCCTATGATTTCCTTACCAATCCTAAATCCAAATTTGATCAAGACCAAGCACTTATTTTAGTTCAAGTTCACAATTGGAAGAAGGGTGTATTATATCTTTATGAAAAATTAGAACTCTTTAATGAAATTATCGAATATCATATGGAGACTAATGATTATGCAGGTTTAATTAAAGCATGTAAAAAGTATGGTGTAAAAGATCCAAACTTGTGGGTTAGAGCCTTATCATTCTTTTCGATCACCAAACAAGATTGTCAAGAGGAAATTAAAGAGGTATTGGCAAATATTGATAAAGAAAATTTAATTCCACCATTATTAGTCATTCAAATTTTATCTCAAAATAAAAACACTACCCTCGAAGTTATCAAAGACTACATCTCTAGAAGACTATTCCAAGAAACTCAACAAATCGATAAAGATTACCAACAAATTAGACAATATGCAGAGGAAACTGAAAAGATGAGACACGAAATTAACGAATTAAGAACCAACTCCAAAATTTTCCAACAAACTAAATGTGTTGCATGTCAAAGTCCTTTGGATTTACCTTCAATTCACTTTTTATGTCAACATTCTTTCCATCAAAGATGTCTTTCAGAAAACGAAAGAGAATGTCCAGTTTGTGCTGGTCCAAATAAAAGAATTCAAGATATTAAAAAATCACAAGCCGAATCTGCTTCACAACACGATCAATTCTTTAAACAATTAAGATCAACAAATGATGGTTTTACAACTATTTCAGAATATTTTGGAAAAGGTGTATTAAATTAAATAACATTAAATTAAATATAAATCAAAACCGAAACTAAACTAAACGAAACGAAAAAAAAAAAATAAAAAAAGTAAAATTAGATTTCTTTTAAATTGGGGGTTTTTTTTTTTTTGAAAAAATTTTTTTATTTTTTTTTTTGATAACTTTTTTTATTTTTTTATTTCAACAAAAAAAAAAAAAAAAAAAAAAAAAAAAGTAATATTCTTGAATAAGGTACTCCCGAACATTTTACACAACCACCGAAACACTCACATTAAATATTCAATATTGAATAATTCTTTAGTTATTATTAAATATCAATTTTTTAATGTTGAAATTAAAAAAGCAATATATTATGCGAGGGGTAAAAAAGATTTTCTAAAAAAGAAAAAAAAAAAATTAAAATAAAATAAAAATTTAAAAAATAATAATAAAATTTTTTTTTTTTTTTTAATTATTTTATTTATTTTTTTTTTTTTAAAATTTTTTTAATTTTTTTATTAAATAATTTAAAACTTTTTTTTTTTTTTTCTGAATAACAAAACTATTTGTCATACATCCTAAAAAAGAAGGTGTATCCATCATAAAATCGTTATTATATAGTTATATATATATAAATTATATTATTTCTAGAAAATTAGAAAAAAAAAAAAACAAAACACAATAACAACATAAAAATACAATAATAACAACAACAATAAAACTCAATTTTATAATTTTTTTTTTTTTTTTACATATAATAAAAAAATAAAAAAAATTAAATAAAAATAAAATAAAAATAAAATAAAAATAAAATAAAAAGCACTAATGGATACATCATATAACCAAAAGTTTAGAAATGCCCTACGTTTTGAAAACGAGGAAAACAATAAAAATAACAGCAATACTAATATAAATACTAATACAAATAATAATACAAAAAATATAAATAATAGTGAAAGCAACAGTGATAATAATAATATAAATAGTAACAACAACAGCAACAACAACAACAATAATAATAATAATAATAATAATAGTGGTGATAGTATAAGTAACAATAACAGTAACAGTGGCAACAGCAATAATAAAAACATATCAAATAATATAAACTCAACATATGGTGTAAATAATTTTTTAAATAATTTAAATAAAATGGATAAACCAACTTTTAATTTAGCACCAGTTGTAAATATAGATATAGATGATTTGGGTGATAAAATAAATAGTTTTAAAGTTGTCGATAATGCTATAACGAGCTCATTAAATTCGAGTTTAGCAAGTAATAGTAGTAATACAAATAACATAAGTAATAGTAATACAAATATAAATAGTAATTTAAATATTTCAGCTACAAGTAGTGGTAGTGGTAATAATAATAATAATAACAATAATAATAGTAATAATAATGGTTCAAATTTAATAAATAATAGTAGTTATAATTTAAATTCAAGTAGTTCAAATTATAGTCAAAGTCGAATGAATAGTAGCGGTAATTTTAATATTTTAAATTCGAGTCTCAATAGTAATAATAGCAGTGAAACTACATCACCAACAATGGATAGTAAATCCAAAAGAAGATTTTCATTATATGTTTATCAACACCCAACTGATGAACAAAAAAAACATATTTCCGAGTTATATGGTTACAAAGAACACCATAGTGATCATGGTTATAAATATACTCACGAGTCTGGTTTAGATACCGAAGAATCATCATCTGATAGTTATTCTATTGATCAAAATAAAAGAAATAGTGCTTCTTTATCAAGTTCTGGGACTCCTCCAAACAGTAGCACACCAAAGGCAACTTTTACACAAACTATTTTACCATCTCAATCCAATTTAAAGCTATCACCGCAACAATTAATTCCGCAATCAAATAGTTCCCAATCACCATCGTCCCAACCACCCATAGTTCCAACTTCATTTGTACCACCTCTATCACAAAATCAAAATAAAACATCATCGACAACTACAACAACCACAACAGCTCCACAAAATACAATTCCATCAATAAATAAAAGTAGTAGTAATATACTGACAAATTATAAAGAAGAGGTGGCAGCAAAATTATTGGAACCATCAAGCGTAGATTTATCACAAATACCACAATCTTATTTTTCGACAAATTATAAAGCAACATCAAATTATGCTGGTAAGCCATCGCAATACTTGGACGACGAATATGATGAAAAGAAAGCAGCAGCACAACCAATCCAACCACCATTATCGACTGCTAAGGACTGGAATGCAGAGTTTCAAAATTTAGTTTATAACGAAAAAATTGAAGGTTATAGAGAATTAAGCAAATTGGCTCATGATTTTGTATATACTGCTAAAATTTATGGTAAGGTTATTATTTCCGAATTAACTTTACCATTACATTTAAAAACAATTAAACCAATTAATATTGGTGGTGTTGCTGGTGGTCATAAATATATTGCATTAGGTATATTGTTTAAAGTAAGTATTATTTATAATTATAAAAAAAAAACTTTAAAATTTAAAAATATTAATATTTATTTTTTCATTTTATTCAAATTTTTAGTTAGCCTTAGATACACAAGGTTTATATGTTGGCGATCAAAATGCAATGAAAGCAGCAGGGCACGAATTAAAGGGTTTAATGAGTTATTACAACTGTAGAGTTGAAGGTTTACACCATCCATTAATGGCATTAATCGATTACAGAGGGTACCGTTTGGTTGCAATGTCGTTATTACCAATCAATTCAGACACAATCGTATACGGTAGCAGTGATGGTGGTATATCAGTACATAATGCAAATCAAGAGTTTAATAATAAAATGATAGAATCAGCTAAAATATTAAATATTAAAGGTCATATGGTTGGTAAAGATATCCAAAAGAAATTGTATTCTTGTGGTGATATTGAAGGTCATATAGGTTCAGATGATAAATTTTATTTATTGGATTTTGCAAGAGTATTTCCACCACAAATGAGATTGTTTGACAAGGGTCCACCAACTCATTTGTTCGAATTAACAAGACCAGAGTTAGTAAAATCAAATTCAACTCCATTATCATCTGACGCTTTAACTGGTTGGGGTAAATTTGATCCATTAGCTTTAGAACATAACAGTAAGTTTTTTTTTTAAATTTAAAAACAGTATACTTAAATACAAATATTAATAGTTTAATTTAAATTTTAATAATATAGATGAAGTTAAAGAGGCATCATTTAGATTGTTTTTGAAAGTTATACCCGAGTTATCAAATTATTTAAATAATATAGAAATGGACAAAAGAGAAATCCATTTAACACAGGAAATTCATAGAGTTGGTGTTAATTGTAGACATTTGGGTTTGGTTAGAAGAAAAGTTAAATGTAAATCTATTAGAAAGTTTTTATTGGATGAAATTATGGCAAGAACTATGAAATCAGAAATTATGGCATTATTTAGAAGTAAAATGAAAACCGCAGATACACCATCTGAAGAGCCATTTAAAGAGGTTGTTGTACAATATTTAAATGGTATTTTTAAATACGAGCACACTCCAGAGGGTAGAGTTTGGCCAAAGAGTTTAAAGAAGGCTATAGAAAAGAAATTCTTTGGTACTTTTCAAATTAATGATTCAAGTATTAACCAAATTACTTTTGAACAAATTCAAGGTAGAAAGTTTGACGAGGATGCAATCAAGCGTTATATTAAAGGTGCATCATATACCGGAGTCGAGACAATGTTTGTCGAGAGTGTTGATATTCAAGAGGTTATGAAGCGTTTTAATCAATTAACTGGTGTTGGTTTAACCTCAAGAGCTCTAAGAGAGATTACCAAGAATGATGGTGTTCGTTTAGTACAATCTGATGTCAAAAGAATGAAAGCTAAAGTTAAAGCTCATCATTTGGTAGAGTTTGCAGAAGGTATGGTACTTTGGGATGAAGCTAAAAAAGAGAAATCAAGAGAAAATATTGAAGGTGCTTTTTGTCCATGTCCTGTTCAACTTATAAATGGTGGCGATGGTGCAGATAGAATTACTGATCGTCTTTTTGGTTTGGCAGATGAACATTTCCGTTCGGCCCTTTCAGTATCACCACATAGTGCTGAAGTTAGTGCCAATTGGGCAATGATGTTAATGGAAAGAGCTAGAATGTCAAGAGAATGTGTACCACAGGAAGCTGATTTATACTATAACGCTGCAGAAGAGAAAGTTAGAGCTTGTTTATCCGATGGTGGTAAACCCAAAATCGCTCTAGAAAATGTTTTATTAGAATATTCAGAGTTTCTTTGTATTTGGGGCACAACTACCGATCAAACTTTGGATTTAAATGAAGCTAATGGTTTAAAGAGTAAAGTTTTTAGTAGAGCCAGTAAGAAATTAAATGAATGTATTAGAATAAATCCATCCAAATTTGCATTGGTCTTACAAAAATCAAAAATTATTGACAATCTTTTCCATCAGTCTAGTTGCTTTAAACAATCGGCAGCTGTTTATGCAGCTGTTTGTACCATTTGTGATTGTTTAATTCAATCTTTTCCAAATATACCTAAACAATATTTTAAAGAAATTGCTCAAGTCGTTGTTTCAAATTTAAACCCAGCCGAGTTAATGCGAAAAGATCCAGAGACATCAGATAACCCAATTATTGCAGAAAACTTTTTTGAAAAAATTAGAATCGCCAACGAAATACCAATTAAAAATGTAATTTCAATGCGTAAAGACGAATCTGAAATCAAGAGACTATTAGAAGAGAATCCATTAGAGATTTTAAAAGCAGAAATGGGTGTAATGTATTTACGTTATGGTTACACATCTCATGTTTATGGTATTCAATGCTCAAAAAGACCACACACCAAAATGGCATCAATCAAACTATTTAATAAAACTGGTGGTCTCTTCCAAAGAGGTATTGACATGGACTCCTATAATAAAGAATATATGTTGGATCACATAAAGAAATTCACTTCATCAAGCCAATTTGTTGAGTTTTACCAATCAATAATAGGTTGTCCATGTATTATGGAATTTGTAAAAGATAGATTATCAAGAATAGCTCATATGTCACTCAAGGATTGTAATCATTTATCAATCGAATTTGTTGAGGGTGTTATAGAGTTATCTCAACGTGTTAAAATGTTGGTGTTAGATGGTTGCACCCAAATTACAAATGATACAATCAAATTAATCATAAAGAAGTTACCTCACTTAGAAACCCTTTCATTAGCTGGTTGTCAAAATATTTCAATTATCATTCCAAACTCCACATTAAAAGAATATCAACAAGAAAGACATGAAAAACAAGAAAAAGAAAAATGCGAAAATAAAATTTGTTCACTTTTTGATAAATCAAGTTCATTCAGTTCACTAAATAAAGAAACTGGTGGTAGTGGTGGTAGCATCAGCAGTAGCGGTGGTATCAATCATTATCATCATTCCGGTAGTAATAGTGTTGGCCACAGTGCTGGTGCAACTTTAGGCGCTAATTTAAATGGTCTCAATTCTTCATCTCCACACAGACATAGCATTTCTGCTTCAATTAATTTAAATTTACCAAGTTCTTTAAATGGTATCTTATCATCAACATCACCACTTTCATTATCAGCTTCATCTTCATTGGATTCCTTATTGAAGCCATTTATATTTTTACAAAACTTAAATTTGAACGATTGCAGAGCTATCAACGATCACCAACTTATAAACATTGCCCAAATGCAACTACCATTGGTAAATGTTTACTTGAAACGTTGTAGTATAACCGATCTTTCACTTATTCAATTAATTCAAAACTGTCCAAAACTCTCAATTTTAGAATTATCCGATACCAATATTACAGATCAATCAATTAATGCCATCGCAATTAATTCAATTTCGTTAAAAGAGTTAATATTGGATAGATGTGTTAATATCAATTTCCAATCAATCGAGAAATTGGTAAGAATTGTTCATGACATACGTTTACTCTCTCTTGCAGACTGTCCATTAGCCGCAAATGATAATACTCTTCGTCTTATTGGTAAATATTGTTCAGGAATACAGTTTTTAACATTATCACGCAACCCAACTATAACTGATTCAGGCATGGTTAGCATGGCAAAACACACAGTAAATCTTTTAGAATTAAATATCAATCAATGCGTTAATCTAAGTGATGCCTCAATTAATCAAATTTCAATCAGTTGTCATAAAATTCGTGTACTTAAAATGGTTGGTCTTAACAATGTAACCTCATTAAAACCAATTGGATCTCATAGTGCCGAGTTAGTACACTTGGATATTTCAGAGTGTCATAAGATTTCAAATGGTTTGGGTGCAATTGCAAAAGGTTGCTCAAAATTAACTACTTTCAAATTAAGAAGATGTTATGGTTTCAAAGATGCCTCATTACTTTCAGATGATGGTGATTTACATTTAATGCAACGTTTAACCGTATTGGATTGGAGCCATGTCAATATAGAATTCAATGCTATTCACTCTGTTAGTCATAGTTGTCAATTTTTAACAAGTTTAAATATCTCTTATTGCAAAAGTTTAAATGATAACGCTTTAGAAAGAATTGCAAACTCTTTGGTAAACATTAAAAAACTCAAATTTGATGGAATCATTAATATAACGGATGATGGTGTTAAATCATTATCAGATGGTCCAATATTCAACACAATCGAAGTACTCTCTATGGTTGGTTGTAGAAAAGTATCTGATATCTCTGCTTATCACATACTCAGATTCAATAATTTAAGAAAAATTTCAATTGGTGGTAGTTTAATGACAACAAATGGTGCCGATTTAATTGCTTCAAGTTCATTTGAATTGGTTAAAATTCATGTTAGAAATTGTTTAAATATTAATGTTAATCATTTAATTGAACATCACCCACACATTTTAATTGATACAACACAAAAAGATTATAATGTATTTATTTAAAAATAACAAAAATTATAATTAAAAGTAATTAAAATAATAATAATAATAATTAAAATAATAATAATAATAATAATGGTTATAAATTAAAGTTATAATCATAAAAAATAAAAAATTTGTATATATAGAACCTTAATTTTTTTATCTTTTTTCTTTTTTTCTTTTTTTTTATTTTTTTTTAATTTCATTTTTTCTAATTTCATTTTTTTTAATTTCATTTTTTTATTTTTTTTTTAATTTTTTATTATTATTTTTTGTGTTGTGATGAAAAAATTTTTAAACAATAATTATTTTCTAAACACAATTATTTTTAATAAAACACATTTAAAACAAATACATATATTTAAATTTAATAACAGTTTTTTTTCAACAAATAATAATAATAACAATAATTTTAAAATGAAATTCCAATACCCAGAGGCAAAGAGGGAAGATACTTTTGACATTTACAAATCAAAAGAAAAGGGTGAGGTTAAAATAAATGAACCATATCGTTGGCTTGAAGATCAAAATTCAGAAGAAACAAAGGTAAATATTTATTTATTTATTTATTTTATATTTTATTTTTTCAACTCACACACAATTAATTTTAAAAACAATATATAATAGAAATGGGTTAATGAAGAAAACAAAGTAACTAGATCATTTTTAGATGGTGATGGTAAAGGTGTTTCAGAAAAAATTTTAGAAGAGTTATTAAAAGGTCAAGATTATGAACGTTTTGGTTGGTTTAGAAAGAGAGGTAGTAAATTATTTTTCTCAAGAAACCCAGGTACCTTAAATCAAGATATTATTTATTTAATGGATGAAAAGAATGGTGGTTTTGAAAATGCTATAGAATTTTTAAATCCAAATACCTATTCGAAAGATGGCACTTGGAGTTTAAAGAGATTCAATATTTCAAAGTCTGGTAGATTTGTAGTTTTTAGCTATTCCAAAGCAGGCTCTGATTGGGAAGAGATTGGTGTTAAAACTGTACCAGATATAGTTTCAAAAGATGCAGAAATTAAAACTTTAGAAGATCATATTGAATGGTGCAAATTTACCTCAATTACTTGGGATGAAAATGAAACTGGTTTCCTTTACAGCAGATTTCCACAGCCATCTTTAGGTGAAAATGAAGAAAAAGGTACCGAAACAGATTCAAATATAAATAATAAGCTTTATTATCATAAAATTGGAACTAAACAATCGGAAGATATATTAGTTTATGAATGTCCAGAACATCCAGAATGGATTTTAGGTTCAAATTTCTCAACTGACTTTAAAACTTTATTCATTTCCATTTCAAGAGATTGCAACCCAGAGGGAAACCTTTATTTAATCAGAAATTTTAAAAAGGTTTTAAATAATGAAGGTAAAAAAAAAAATTTAATTCCAAAAAATATAAAAATAATTGTTTTATTAATTTTTTTTTATACATATTACTACAGATAAAGAATTCAAAGTCGAAAAGCTTATTGATGATTTTAATGCAAGTTATTATTATATTACAAATCAAGGTGATAAACACTTTTTCCTTTCAAATCTCAATGCCCCATTAAATAAAATTATTAGTATCGAGATTCCATCCACTCTTCCAAAACAAAAAGACCTTGTAATTAAAGATGTTATCAAAGAAAGAGATTACTTAATGGAAAGTGCTGATGTTACAACTTTAGAGAAGTTTTATGTATCATTTGTAAAAGATGTTAAAACAATCATTCAAGTCTTTGATTTCAATGGTACATACTTAAAGGAAATCCAATTACCAGGTCCAGGTACAGCCTATTTATCAACCAATCATTTCCACAATCATGTTTTCTTAACTTTTACCTCATTAGTATCACCATCAACAACATACTATTTCAACTCTGAAAACGATGATGAAATTAAACTCTTCAAAGAACCAAAGATTGATGGCTTTGTTCAATCTGACTATGTTTGCACTCAAATCTTTTACGAATCACCAAAAGATAAAACCAAGATTCCAATGTTTATTGCTCATAGAAAAGATTTTGTTCAAGATGGTAATAGTCCATTTTATATGACTGCTTATGGTGGTTTTAATATTCCTTATAGTCCTTCATTTAGTTTAAGAAATATTTATTTTATTGACAAATTTAAAGGTGCCTTTGCTATTGCAAATATTAGAGGAGGGTAAGTAGTTTATAAAACTTTGTGAATAATAATAATAATAATTATTCTAAAATATTTTACTAATTTATTTTATCTAGTGGTGAATATGGTAAAAAATGGCACGAAGCTGGTTCCTTAAAGAATAAGCAAAATTGCTTTGATGATTTTGCTGGTGCCGCTGAATATTTATTTAAAAATAAATATACCAATCCAAATAGATTAGCAGTTAGAGGTGGTTCTAATGGTGGTTTATTAATGGGCGCTTGTTCTAACCAATATCCAAATATTTTCAAATGTGTTATTGCAGATGTCGGTGTCATGGATATGTTAAAGTTCCATAAATTTACAATTGGTCGTCATTGGACAAGTGATTATGGTAGTAGCGATGTTCCAGAAGAATTTGATGTATTAATTAAATACTCTCCTCTTCATAATATTCCAAGCGATACTAAAGAGTATCCATCCATTTTAATTGCCACTGGTTCACATGATGATAGAGTTACTCCACTCCACAGTTACAAATTTGCCGCTGAACTCCAACACAAGCTTGGCAAGAAAGTTGAAAATCCACTTTTAATAACTGTCACACAATCTGCTGGTCATGGTGCTGGTAAACCTTTAAGAACTATTCTCTTCGAACAGGCTGATGTCTTCAACTTTATTTCAAAATGCATAAACTATGATTTAAAATTTTAGATTATCCTTTTTTGTCAAAATTATAGTAATAAAATAAACCTGTTAACAAATTTACTAGGAAAGGTGATATTAATTTGAAAAATTTTAAAAAAAATTTTAAAAAAATTTTTAAAAAAATTCAAAATTAATTTATTTTTTTCTCTTTTTTTTTCATTTTTTTTTTTTTTTTTTTTGCAAACAATAAGCTTATTATCTATCTTTATAAATATTTTGGTTTCATAACATAAATACACAATAATACTTAAATTAAATTAACTAAAGAATGCCACCAAAAAAAAAACCAACAACAACCACAAATTTTGTGCAGCAATCATCAAGTTCAAATATAGCGATCCCAGCAACAATAAATTTAGCAAATAGCACCAATAGCACAAATACATCAACTTCAGCAACTGCAAGTACTGCACAAAAGAAAATTCAGTGGTATTGGGCAGGTGATAGCAACAACAGTACGGGAAGTGTACAAGATATTTTAATAGAATATGATTCAAAGATAAATTCTGAAATTGAATCACAATTTCAACAATTTCAATTAAAACCAAAATCAATTAAACTTTCAAAATTCAAAGTCGATAATGATAGATATATTAATTTTAAAACAATGTGTCAAACAAGATATGATGATCCAAATAAAAATAGATCTGTTGAAAGAAAAGAAATGTATATATGATTATAAATCAATATTAATAATGTCAATAATATCAATAGTTATATTTTATTAAAATAAATAAAAGTAAAATATTAACGATAACAATTTTATTATTTTATTACAGCATCCCAGGTACTGCACCAACAGCACCATCAGTTTCAATTAAAGGAAGAGATAAACCAAAAAAAAGAAAATCTACGGATTCAGATAGTGAAAGTGATAGCGATAGCGATAGTAGTGACAGCGATAGTAGTGACAGCGATATTAGCTCGGATTCAGATAGCGATGATGAGGATTATATAGCAAAATGGTATTGGGCAGGTGATAGCAATGGTGGTCCATCAAAAGGAGGCGGCCATCAAGATGTTTGGGTTGAATACGATAACAAAATGTGTAAAAATTTAGAAAAAGCATTTCAAAATAATGATAAGAAATACAAGGTTGATAAGGAACGTTTTGTAGATTTACAAAATATGTTACAAAGAAGGTGTGATGATGAAAGTAAAAGAAGAAATGTAAAAAGAGAAGACCCAAAGAAAACCAAAAAAGCCAAAAAATCAAATGTTTCAACTGCTCAACAAATTAATAATGCAATTAACGCTGTTGCTTCATCACATGGCACTACTAGCACAGCTGTTGCTCCAATTACGAAAAATGCAAGCAGCAAAAGCATATCAGATACCACAACAACAACCACTACTACAGCAGTCTCAAATAATAAAGCTACACTTGCACCAACTATGAGCCAAATTTCAATCTCAAGCATTATCAAATGTCCAGACACATGGACCAATGTTGACTCTATGGACTATAAAGAAATCGATATTAAACCATCCGAAAGTGAATTCAAATGGATGTCTAAACTATTCACCAATACTATTGCACCAATTCACAAGGGTATGGCAACTCTTTCACCAATTGTTTTTAATGATCTTGTTGTTTCAAGAGTTACCAGAATTCAAAATCCAATGCAATGGGTAAGATATCACGGACGTAAACAAAAAATTTTAGACGATAATAAAGGCAAGTGCTCCCCAATCTATAGTGTATTGACTGATGTTTCAACTGGTCCAGAGGTTGATAGAAATGCAAATGAATTCTTTTTGTTCCATGGTTTAAATATAAGCTCTATTACTGGTATTGCTAAGTTTGGTTTTGATCCACGTTTTTGTTCTTTAGAGGGTATGTATGGTGCTGGTTTATATTTTGCTGAAAATTCTTCAAAATCAAATCAATATTGCCATGGTAAAAGTATGTATAAAAAATATTAGCAAACAAATAAATAGCAGATAGACAAACCAATGTTACCAACAATGTATTAATTCTTTTTTTTTTTAAACACTTAAAAGGTTGCACAGCTTCTGGGTTTTTAAGTTCAAGTTGTCACTGTTCAGCTAAAGATGAAATCTGTATTTTAGTATGCCGTGTAACATTAGGTGATGCATTAGTTGAGAATGTATACCGTGGAAATACTAAAGGTAGCTTTTGGCATGGACGTAGAACAGAACCAAAGAAACCCGATGGTGTTAGTATTTATAATAGTGTTGTTGGTGAATCAAAACCTAACTATGGTCCAAAAGCAGCTCTTCAATTAAGAGAATACATTGTTTATGAAAGTAGTCAAGTTTATTCAGAGTACAAAGTTTATTTCCATCGTAAAAAATAATAAAACTACAAGTATATAAATAATTTTTTTTAAAGTCTATAATTTTTATTTAACTTTTATTTTGAAATAGTTTTTAATCTTTAAAACTTTATAAATTAAAGTAATAAGAATTGAAAAAGACGATAAAGATATAAAAATATAACCCAGTATACTATTAGGATATTGGGTGTATTGGTTTAAATATCTTGAATTATATAAAACAAATGTAATTAAAACCAAGAAACTTTGGGAATTTTCGAAATAAAATCTTGATTTCTTTTTAAAAGGTTGAAAATATACTTGGAGTATTATTTGGATACTAAAAATAGAAGGAAGGGCTACTTGCAAAACTTTTGTATGGGAAGCTAAAAATGTTGAGAGTACACAGTAAATAAAGCTAAAAACCATTGAGGATGGGAACCAATGATAAGATTTTAATTTTAAATGTGAAAAATAAACTGCTTTTTTCATTAATTCTCTTTGTGATTTGATAATATCTTTTCTTAATTTTTCTCTATCTTCTCCTTTGGTTTCTTCGCTTGGGCTATTAAAAAATCTTGAGTTTATATATAAGAAGTGATTAAATAAAAGCTTTGGTGGATAGCATTTGGTTGCTAAAAATATACAATAAATAATAACTGATAAATAGTAAAAAAGAAATACACTTCCTATTGACATTCCGATAATATGAGATCTTGTATAACACTTGATATCTGTGTCATATAGCAAATAATAGTGACCATTAATTTTTTGGCAATTAAAAGTTGTAGAAACAAAATAAATAGTGGGTATTATAAAAAAAGTTGAAACTGATACAAAATATTGTATTGCTGTTGGTGCCAGTGGGTTTTTCTGATCTGTTCCTTTATATTTTGCCCTGATAAAATTCTTCAATGACCTCAGTATTGTCGAAACTGTGGTAATAAATAGATTTGTGACTAAGCCAATATAATATTTATAATAATAGTCTAAAGCTGGGCTGGTGCATGAATTTGAGAGGTAGTCAATTCTTAGATTAAATATTTGAAAAAATGTATAGTTTTCGATGTTTGTTGATATTATACTAATTAATTGAACAGTGGTAACTAATGAAAATAATATTGTTCTATTTGGCAAACTGCAAAATATTAAAAGTATTATTAAAAATGAAACCAAAGCTATATAACCACCAATTATATTATAATTTGTTTTATCACAACTGACACAGTAATTACCAGATTTTGATGTACCTTTAAAGCATTGGCCACATAAAACACCAGTATGGTTTAGTCTACATATTAGAGGTTGGCAAATATTTGGGTTGCAATTATAAATATTGATGGGATAGTAATCCTTTAAAAACCAATAACCCTGATTCCAGAAAATAGACAAACCATCAGGACAGTTTAAATCACTACTACAACTATAGCAAGTTAGGCCATTATAACCAAAAGTACCCGGTGCACAGTTTTGACAAACCCCATTTTCTAGATATTGATATTTTAAGCAATTGACAATAGTTTTTATTATTGATTCTTTATAAATCACAAGGTTTTGATTTGATAAAACAAAAGTAAAAGTAAAGTTTGAACCAACTGACCCATTAAGAACTCTACTTGGAGATGTAAATAATATTTCTCCGTTTAAAGGCACTAATGGTTTGTTATAAACTTTTCTACCATCTTGATCGTAAATGTATAAATCAACCATATAACCATTATTTATTTTTACTGAATTATTATAGTAATCTAAAAGTAAAACTGAAAAGGTGAATGGATCTTGATGTTGAATATCTGAATTAAAATATATCAATAATTTTGAAACTTTTGATGTAAAATCTTGTCCATATGGAGCCGTATTATTTGAAAACTGGTTATCACTCAAAATTGTTTTTTCTGGATAATATGTAAAAATTGCACCACCACCATCATCATATGCTATATTATTTCCTAATTCTGAACCATTTATAAAAGATAAATAATTTGAATCTAATAATATTGAACCTCCACTTCTTAAGGCTGAGTTTTGAAAAAAAGTTGACCCTATAATTTGGATATGATATATATCATCACTATTACTATTGCTATTACTGTTACTGTTACTGTTACTGTTACTGCTACTGTTACTGTAACTGTAACTGTAACTGTAACTGTAACTGTAACTGTAACTATTGCTATTGCTATCGCTATCGTTATTACTACTATTATCACCGTTTTTGTCGGAATTTCTAAAAATCACAGAAACACTACCCCCATTTAAAATATAAGAACTTTTATCTAATAAATCTGAATAAAAACCATTTTTAGCCATATTTTGGTAAAATTGGCAATTATTGATAATAACTTTTGAATCTAATGAAAATATAGCAGCTCCACTTGTAGCCAAATTACCTGCAAAAGTGTTGAATAGTTCTAAAACTAAAGTTGATTGTTCTAAATAAATTGCTCCTCCAATATGAGCTTGTGAGTAGGTGAAAGAATTACTACTCATCAATATGGTGCAATTAAGGAAATAGAAATTTCCACCTGCTCCACCAATATTTGTGTTATTGTTAAAAACTGAAGTCTTCACTGTAACCTGACTGTTTGTAAATGATAATGTTGGTGTTGTAAAGGCCAAATTACCCCTAACATTACAGAGTGACATTAAGACTATACTACTGTGGTCTATAATTGATGAATATGTTCCATATGAGGCAGAGTTACTATTTACAAAAAGAGTTGATGAGATAGTATAGTTTGAAGAGAAAGAAGAAATAATAGATGATGGAGCAGTATTCTTCATAAACCCACACGAATCTATTGTACCATTTGAAAAACTGATTGAAATAAGTGTCGATAGAATATTTTCTACAAAATTTGAATTATATATATAAAAATTGCTACTAGTTAAAGAAATAGCCAAAGTCACCAAAGCAGAATTAGAAATGAAATTGCTGTAGAGGACTACTATATGAGAATTTTGTGAGACTATTAACGCACTATGAACTGAATTATTTTGAAAATTGGTGGTTATGAACTTAACCGATGAAAAAGAAAAAAAGAAACCCCCATTGATAATATTATTTGAAAAAGAAAAGACACATTGATTAAATTCTAAATTATCACAGTCATTAGAAATGGCAAATGGATAGTTTGAAGAAGAGGAGCTAACGATTTGAAAACCTTTAAAAATAAAATTTGAAACATTATATAAATTGAGACCAGAACCATCCAAAGATAAACTTGAACCATTAATTATAGAATTGGTCCAATTACCCATGCTTATATTTTTCATATTTACCACATGTTTAGTACCGATTGAATCTGTGATGTTTATACCATGCAATTGAAGCTGATCAACATCTTCAATATTTAAAGGATAGGAGCTGTAATTAAATCTTGAGAATAGAATAGTGGCAGTTGCCAAACTTTTAAGATACACACACCCAGGGCTATATGCTAATATTGAATTTAGAGTACTATTGGATAAAGTAAGATTAAAAACATATAAATCTCCACCAACAACTTCCAATTCGCTACAATACAAATTTGAAATGAAAGCAACATTAATGATAGCAGTTTTTTCATTGAGAGATGAAACCAATGTAAATCCATAGTTATTTACAAATGTCGTATTTTCGATATAGATTCCATTATTTGACAATACCAAGTTTAAAGTGGATGATGAAATTTTGTTTTTATTATTTTCGAATACTGAATTCAATAATGAAATGTTGAATGTCCCATCGCTTAATACAAGATTATTATTATTGTAAAAATGTAACCCATCTAATATAACACTGCTATTTTCACTTTGAATAAAAAGATAACCATCTGGAACTCTTGAAGCTGACATTTGGTTAAAATGAAGAGTTGAATTTGTTGCCGAAAACAAGCGAAAATTTGAATTTAAATATTGAATATTATTTAACACTACCTGAGAATTATAAAAAAGTATAAAAGGTGCATCCATATTACCAAATGAATTTGAAATTACTAAATTGGTAATATTCCCAACTCCAGAGATTCTTGAGCAAGGAAATATGTTCATTGTATATGGTGTTATAATGAATTCTATTACATCTAAAACTATATTATTGATTTCAAAGATACTATAAATACTAAATAAATTCCTTAAATTTTTTATTCTACTAATGTGCAACCCATCTATATATAATTTACCAGTAAAATATGAATCTATAAATTGAACATCCTCCCCATCAAATACTTGAACATTATCAATACGGACCACTACTTTATCAGAATCTTTACCAGTAAAAAAAAACAATGGATTACCAGTATAGGTTATATTTGAAAAAGATGAATCTACAATTGAAACACTTGATACCACGCCATCGTTGAAATAAGATTGATAAGCACAAAGACCATTTGAAAAGATATTGACAAGAGTAAGATTTGTGTCTTGAATTTGCATTACTGAAGAAGTACAGAAAAAGAAAGTTGAATCGAAATAAACAGTTGCTAAAAAAGACCATACAAAACTTCCTAGCTCAACACCCATTTGTAAAGAGCCACCATAAGCCGATAAATAGGAATAAGGGCTTAAAAAAAAAACACCCATATTATAAAAAACATTATATAATGTGTTGTTATTGAATTCCAATCTTGAGTATTGGGCCATTGTAAATGTTGTATTAATATTATTGTTATTATCTAAATTGAAATTTAAATATTGAATCTGAAATGTGGTTGCTTGTTGAATATTATTTTTTGTAAAACTATCTTGGGCATTAATAATTTCACTGCATATACTATTCGATTGGTTTATTTGGTAAAGTGATGGAGATGAAACGAATAAAATACCTTCGTAGTCATCGGACAACTCTACATTGAAAAGGATACCTTCTTGTGCTCCTATTAAACTGACATTTTTCCCTCTATTAAAAATGGTTTCGTCGCCACTAAAACTATAATCTGAAATTAAATAAACACTATAACCAGGTGAGACTGAATCGATTGCTTTTTGAATTGTTTGAAATGGTGATTTTAAACTACCGTCACCAGTTGTGTCACTACCATTATTTGATACATATACATTTGATTCTAAAAAGGAAAAAAACAAAAAATAAAATAATATTCAATTTTTTTTTAAAATAATTAATATAACCCCAATTAATTACAATTTAAATAATTAAATTTTGAACATACCTAAAAGTATTTTTGGATATTTATATATAAAAACATTATCGATAGAAATTTTTAAACTTGAATTTTTTGAATATATTACATTTGAGGAAAAAGTTAGATTATAATTAACTCCACCCAATAAACTATTTTTTATGATATCTATATTATTTAAAAGGGTTAAATAGTTTGATTTAAAACCTTGGCTACACTCTGAATATTTGTAATAAAATAGCTTTTTTTCATTAAAATAAACTGAGAGATCTATATCATTATTTTCATCATCTATTTCAGGCTTCAGTAATTGAATACTAAACTCTAGCTTTATATCATAATTTATTAAATCAATTTCTGGTACATATACTTTTTGATAAACTGAATAAAACTCCTGAACAATTTCTTCGCTACCACTTTCTATATAATCTAAATCTCCATCATTTGAATTATTGTAACTCCCTTGAAATAATAATGAGCACGATAAATGATAATAACCATGGCCACATTCTATTTTTTCTGTATCACCTTTCCAAGCAAAATTTTCTTCAAAACCCCAATTATTTACATAATTATTATAATCGGGCGTAACGTCACCACTTCCTAACCCTATGGAAGATTTAACAAATATATAATTATCATTTAATATAAATAACAAAATATAAAATATTAATTTAATCATTTAAAAAAACTAAATACAAATAAAATACGCTGATTAAATATTTATAATTTTTTTATGTATAAAAAAAAAAAAAAAAAAAAATCCCAAAATTTCGCGTGATGATGTTGATTCGAATTTTTTTGAAAATTGGTCGTAAAAATATTTAAAAAATAAAAAATAAATAATCGCCATTTAAAAAAAAAAACTTTTATATTTTTATTATTATAATAAAAAAAAATTATTAATTAATTAATCCATGTATTTTTTTTCCTTTTTAATTTTTTTTTTAGGCTTGGGAAATCAATTCGTGAAGCTTAAATTTGTTTCTAATATGTGGTCTAACATCTTCTGCATTTGATAATAATTCTAAAAATGGTACTAATTGGAGCAACTCTTTGTCATTTTCATCTTCAAACCAGGATTCGATTGGAATACCATTGTCAACTTGGAAACCAAAAGATTGAGGTGAATTGTCAATAATTACAACTTGTTTTAAATCTCTACCCAAAACTGAAAGATCCTTTAAATAATTACCATCGACATAAACACATGAATCACGGAATAATCTGTGCCTAAAATAAATAAATATATTAATAATTTGTTAAGAAAAAAAAAGGTTTTAATTTACTTACTTTATCTTTTTACATGGATCAATAATATTTAAAAGCTTGTTTGCATAAACTTCTTGGGAGGCTGTAAATATAATGACTTCAAAAATTGTTGAAACTTTATGAAGGAATTCTTCAAAGAATGGTCTCTTTTTAGCAAATACTTGATACTCTGTATTATTAAAAAATACTGGGAAAATTAGGTGTGGTTGATTTAATGGTTCTGTGCTGCAGTGAACAAGGGTTTCATCGAGATCTAAAACTAATGAAATTTTTGGTGATTCATGGTCTTTTGGTGGAAGTGCAACAGGTGGAGGGCAAGTTTGAGCATTTGCTAATTGTTTAATAAATAAAAATGGGTTAAATTCATCCTCTTCTTCTTCTTCTTCTTCCTCTTCAGAATCATCATCACAATCTTCATCGTCGCAGTCATCATCCAAATCCTCGTCGCTATGATAATAGTGATTGTAGTTTTTGGTTTGATCTTCTTTTATTACTATTGATGTAGTTTGTTGTTGTTGAAGATTATGGAAAAATGCTGGATGCGATGGTGGTGTAGTTGATGTTGATATACTGGTTGAGGTGCACATTACAGTAGTTGTGGTTGATGAATCTGAGTTTGTTAAGGTTGATGAGGATGAGGATGATGATGATAACAATATTATATTACCCTCAACATTTTTTATTTCTTCGATTTTTTCATCAAAGTTATTTTCTATTATTAAATTTTTAATTGTTTGAGAATCTGAATCTTCTAAATCACTTATAGAAGAGTTTAAGCTACTAGTTGTACTATCTTGTTCTTGCTCTTGGTAATTTTGGTATTGGTGATGTTGTTGTGGTTGTTGCTGGTCATTATTTATATTACAAAAACTATTTATATTACATTGTTGATTATCATCATCATTTAAGAAATTTATAACCCTCTTTTCTCCTTTGGTAAGATCATTACAAAATACCTCCTCTTCATTGTCATCAACTCTATTTCTATCTATATTTTTATCTTCATTATTACTATTAATATTGTTGTTATTATTATTATTATTATTATCATTGCCACTATTTATTTCATTATTTGTATTGCTGTTAATATCGTCTAAATTGGGAATGATTGAATCAGTAGATTCATTAAAACTACATGGAATATAAAAATTTGAAGAGGGAACTGAAAAACTAGATTGTTTTAAGAGTTGTTTATTTGTTTCTAAATTATTATTATTACTGTGTTCAGTGTTATTATTTTCTAAAATTGAGGAATCACATTGTCTAAGTTTTTTTTTTACTGGTAACTCTAATTCATCTTGTTGTTGATGTGGAGATTTGTTATTAAAAACGAATAAATTCTCTGGTGATTCAATTGAATGTTCCTATATTAAACCTTTGTTAATTTTTTGTTTTATTTCATTTTTATTTTATTTTAAAAATACTTACATGTAAAATTTCTAACATTTTATTTTGAGTTTTTAAACCAGATGACATATTAAAACTAGTTTAATTAAAAAATTTATAAATTATTAAAATTTATTTCTTTTGTTTTTATTTATAAATAAAAAAAATTTTAAACTATTGTTTGTAGGTTGGTTATTAGAGTATAAAAAAAAGTTCCTAAAAAAAACTACTATCTTTGAAATTTACTAACTTTATTATTAAAAAATTTTGTAGTGTTATTTTTTATTAAAATATACAAAATATAATACTAATTATAATTGAAAAAACAACTATTTTATTTATATAAAATAATTTGAAAATTAAATAAATTTAATTATTTTTAAAAAAAAATTATAATAAAATTTTGAAGAAAAAAAAAAAAAAAAAAAAAAAAAGATATGTACAGTTATTTGTTGTGTGTTTTTTATTATAATAAATTATAAAATTAAAAGATAAAATAAAAATAAAAATTATTTTAAAAAAATATAAAAAAAAAAAAAAAAAAAATAGTATTATTGTTTGTATGGATTCATTAATTTCTTAGATGATAGTTTATTTATTTATTTATTTATTATTAAAATATTTATTATTTCTTTTTTTTTTTTTTTTTTTTATTTATATGTGTATTTATTATTTATCCCGGAAACAAAAAAAAAAAGAAATATAAATCCCCAACAAAGAACCAACAATAATAATAATTCTGAGTAATATTGTTTTATTAATAAAAAAAAAAAAAAAAAAGTAACATCAAAAAAAAAAAATTTTAAAAATATAAAAAAAAAAATAAATTAAATTTAATAAAAAAAAAAAACTATTTTTTTATAAATTATTTTTAATTAAAAAATAAATAAAAATTTTATGATAATAAAAATTAGAATTGAAACATATACCGCAAGACATGTTTTGGTTGTAAATTTTTATCATCTTCTTTAAATAGATATTTTTTCTGAAAATGATTGAGCAAAAATATCATACAATATATTTAAATGAAAAAAAATGATATCATCACCATAATATCAACAAAAAAAAAAAAAAAAAAAAGCTACAATCAAATAGATTTAAATAGTACAAAAACTAAAATAAAACAAACAAAAATGAAAAAAATGAAAAATAAAAATTAAAAATATTATCTATATTTACTTTTTTCCTATTATTATTTTTTTTTAAATTCGAAGTTTATTTTTATTTTTATTAATCCCTCCTAATATACCTATAATGGAAATTTATTTAGGAAAAAATAGATATAAAATTATTAAAAGAATTTATTTATAAAATAAATATTTACTATTATTATTAATTTTTATTATTATTATTATTATTATTATTTTATATATGTCTCACAACTATTATTTTTAAATAATAATTATATTTTAAAAAAAATTTAAAACTACAGTTAAAATTTTAATTAAATATAAAATAAAAAATAAAAATAAAATTAAATAAAAATAAAAAAAACAAATATTATTTATGTATGTATTAAAACAACTAGTTAAAAATATAAATAAAAATGATATTAAAGAATATTTTAAATTAAAAAATAAAAAAATTAAAATAAAAAAAAATAAAAAAAACTGTGTGTGTGTTTGTTTTTTTTGGTGTGTTTTGTGTGTTTACTCTCAAAAATAAAATAAATTTAAATAGAAAAAAAATAAACGTTAAGTCTTATAATGTTGGTTGTTATTTTATGATAATTACTAATAATATGGATTATAATTAGTAATAATAATAAAATAATAATTAAAAAGAATAAAAATAATTTACATTCTATTTTTAGTATTATATATATATTTTTTTTTTATAAAAAAGGATAAAATGGTTGCCATTAAATTAAAAAATTGATCAAAAGCTTTTTTTTTTTTTTTTTTTTTTGTTTTATATTATTTTATTTTTTTTTAAAATTTTTTTTTTATTAAATTGTATTATTATAACAGGATAGAAAGGTGGAGGGGGGAAAAATTAAAGTTATATGAAGATTTGACGTTTATGTAAAATGTAATACGAGTGGTATAACAATGACAAGTATAACTATAACAACAATGGCACCAATAATAAGATTTAATTTCATATTTCTGCACCACATCTGTCTTCTGATTGTACCAGTTTGTTTTTTGAAAAGACGAGCATTATTGCTCATTGATTGAGTTTTATCTTGTAAATTTGAAGCTTTATCATGATTGTCTAACATAAGACCAATGTTATTATGCATAACACTTTTAACTTTATCTACTTCTTGAAGAATGTTTTGAGTTTTTGATGGTTGTGGTGGTTGATTTGGTCTACATTAAATTGATAGTTAATAAATTAATTAATACCATACATTATTAAAAATAAATAACAATAAAAAAAATAATAAATAAAAATATTTTTTTTAAACATTATTGTGATTTTATAATTTATTTATATTATATATTATTTAATTTTATTTATTTTATTTTATTATTTATATATATCTTTGCTTAAAAATAATACTTACGAGGCCATTTTTATTTATGTGTATTATAGTTTTTTCTTTTTTTTTATGATTATGATTTAATTAGAAAGAGTAAAATATAAAACTATCGATTGGTGTTTTTTTTATATATTTAAAAAAAAATTTAAATTTATTATAATTGAAACTTAACAATAATATAAAATTATTATTATTTAATATTAACGAATTGAATAAATAATATAATATATAAAATAAAATAGAAATATGTGTGTGAAAAAAAAAAAAATTTCAAAAAAAATTCAAAAAAAAAAATAAAAATTAAAAATTAAAAAAAAAAAAAATTTATTTTTTAAAATATAGTTAACGATTTCTTTTTTATCACATACTAAGGTGGTATGTTTTATATTAATATTTTTCAGAAAAAATACTTGTTTTTTTCTAAAAATAAATAATATATGTATTTTTTTTAGTGGGGTGTGGTGTGAAAAATATTCTTTTTTATTTATTTATTTAGGAAAATATAAATACAAAAATAGTTAATGATAAATAATTAACAAGTGGATATAAAAAAAAATTTTAAAGGGTATATTTATTTAATTTAAATTAATTAAATTTTAATTTTAATTTTAATTTTTAAAAAATATTAATATTTTTTTTAGAGATTTTAAATGGTTTCCTTATTATAATCAAGATTAAAATATAGTTGAAATTGTTTCGATCTAAAATAATTATACCATTCAACATTCAAAGAAAAACATGATTTTATAAAATCACAAAATAAGAATGTGGACATTTGAGCAAAGAAATATAACAATTAATAATAAAATTACTATTACTATTTTATTTAACACACAAAAAAAAAAAGAAATAAAGATTTTATTATTTTAAAAAATATAAAATTAGTTTAAAATATTATTTTTAAAAAATCTAAAGATATCACAAAGTTCACAAAAAAAGAGGCATGAAACGATCCCAATTTAATTTTTATTTTAATTTTTTTATTTTTTATTTTTCTATATTTTATATTTTTTTTAAAAATGAAATATTTTATAATTTTTAATTTTTTTTATTTTTTTTTGATCATAAATATAACAAATTCTCTTATAATCGAAAAATCAAATGCCTTTTATAATGAAAACTCTGATAAATGGAGTTTGGACATTATAACATCAACTAATGATAACAAATTAAAAGCTATAGTTGATATATCAAGTAAGTAAAGAATAAAATTCTGCTCTATCAAAATTATTTTCTTTGTTGAAAAATAAAGCGTTACTAATTACATTACTATAGAATTAATTTTAAATAATAATAATTTAAACAGTTTCAAAATATTAGACAACGATGATTTAGGTTTAGGTTTAGGTTTAGGTTTAGAAATAGAAAAGAGTTTTATAATCAAATTAAATTTAAATTATTTTGGTAGCTTTGAAAATGTGTATGATGATATTAGAAATGAATTTAAAGATCCAACCAAATGTGTGCAACTGAATGGTATCCATTGTTGCGATAAAACAAAAGGAACTCAAATATCTCATAACTATGCTTCCAACTACAGCACCCCCTATTTATTTTATGAAATTAAATCATTTAGTATAGAGTATAATATGACATTTACAACACCAAATGGAGTTGTAGGTAGCTGGAATAGCGATAATAGCAGTGACATATCATTGGGAATCAAAGATCAATCCAATCTAAATTATATAGATGAATTAATAGACACTTATTATTTAACTATAGACCAACAATCAAACACTATTTATTTTATTGCAAAAAAGTATGTTGGGGATGATATCAACAAAATTGGAATCACTAAAGAAACATTTGAGAACTATAATTCATTTTGCAATTTAACAAAATCAATTACAACAGTAGGGGACTCTAGTAATAGGTAGGTTTTCTTTACCCTCCTTTTTATTTTTATTTTATTTTAAAAAAAATTCATTATTTTAATTAAATTTTTTAAATTATAATATAGGTTCGACCAATTTGATATATTTCGAAATAATTTATTAGATAATTTTATTGTTGGATGCAAATTAAATAGTTTTCAACAAATATCAAATTTACAGAATGAAGATTTAATATTATTATGTGACACTTTAAAGGTTTCAAATAAAATAGTATCGTCTGTGTCAATAGACTTTAATTCAAACAAATTCAAACTTTTTAATATTAGTGGAAACTCAAGAGTTATTTCCAGTGGCATTGTTCCCATATCACTGCAGATTAATAAATATTTTTCAAATCTATGTAAGAATTTTACTTTTAAATAATTTATCTAATATTCATTTTATAAATATTAATATTATTTTTAATCATTTTTATTATAAAAGATATTGATTTTTTAAATGATAATATAAATAATGAGGTACTCATAAAAGCAAGGGCTATATATTGCAGTAATGGTGATGAAAACGAAACTAATGCTTCATCTCTGAATGGGCCACTAATTGACCAAGAAAAAACAATTTCAATAAATAGTTTTAATAAAAAGAGAATAGAATTTCCGATAAAGAGTAGAGACAAGGAAATTTCGTCCAGTGGCTATTGCATCTTTGATATTTTTGAAAACGAACAGTTCAAAGAAGAGTACAGGGTAAATTTTAGAACAACAGAAGATGACTATGTACCAGACCCCAAGTTTCAAATCGACTACAATATGAATATGCTTTTATCAGCAACCAAAGATTCGACTTGTACTCCTCCAAAAATTGGAGGTAATAAAAATGGTGTAAATTATTGTATAGATGAATGTACCATTGACCAGCAGATAAATATGTTCACACTAGCATGCATTCCAATAGATTGCAACATCAAATATTCAACCGAATCACCACCAAAACCATACTATAATTCAAATACAGGTTTATGTGAATCCACCCCAGTGTGCCCAGATGGGTATAGCTATCAAGACAATACCTGCAAAAGCCCAACGATAACCCCAGATTCATCATCGATATCATTCTCATGCGAGAATGGTAACCTATGTGGCAGTGATTCGTTGTCATCAGGTGATCCAATAACAACTCCAAACATAACAGGCAATAGTAATGCAACCAACTCATCAATTTCTCTATCATCAAAAACCATTGGCATAATTTTTATTCTTTGCTGTGTAGTATTAATTGTTGTTGTTGGATTTTTAATAAAGAAATGCTGCTTCTCAAGATCTGCAAATAAAAAAATCAAAAGAGATAAACTTCATAACCACCTCAATAAACCACCAACAAAGCCAAAAGAGAACACTAACGAATCGTATGGACACTACCAAAACAACCCAAATTTTATAATAAACAATAGAGCAAACAACCGTTTTAATCAAGACTACCCAAGACCAAGCGGTACTAACATAAGATCAAATAATCATTTCAGTTACAATAATAACCAGAGATCAAACGCTAGCTATAACCGCAATCATAGACCATTCAATAATAATAGCAATGCATACAGGCCAAACTGTGATGGAACTTTCCAAAATCAAAGATCGGTAATGAATCGTAGAGATATTACATATACAAATAATAATCAAAATTTTAACAAATAAATAAACAAATAAATAAATAAATAAACAATGTATTTTTAATTTCAATAAACCTATTTTTTATTCTTTTTATTATTTTATTTTTGTTATTGTTGTATTATTAAAATCATTTTAATAAATTGAAAAATCAATTTAAGATGATAATAATTTGCATCTATTAATTAATGAAATAGCGATACCAAACATTGAGCCACCCAATAAAATGAATGATGAGGTGTGAGAGATAATAACATGAGCATCTTTTACACATTCACTTTCCTTTTCTTTCTTGCAACAGTATGGGCAACAATTCATTAACTTTGAGAACAACCAAGCACCACCCAAAACCAAAGACCATTTTGGTGATATAAAGTATGAAAACATATATGTTGATGGGATTATGGCACCTAAACCCTCAGAGGTATTTTGGTATTCGTGGGCAACTCTTTCAAACTCTGGATCACCTTGAACGTGTGGAGCAGCAACCTATTGATAAAAATATTATTAGATGATTTAATTTTTATATTATATCATGGAGCTACTTACATTGTATTTCTTACGCATAACACCTAATTGGTAAGCTTGGCATGTCCAAAGAGTAATACCCAATGAAGCAACTACTGATGGGAAAACAATATAGTCTGGATAAATCCAATTTAAATTACCAATACGACTTGACATTGTTTAGTTTTTATATTATAAATATAGTAATATGAAATGAAATTGAATGATAAAAATAATGAAAAAAAAAAAATTATAAACAAAATTTAAAAACAAAAAAAAAAAATTTGAATATAAATATTATTTATTTAATTTAAATAAAAAAAATATAATAATAAAAAGATAAATTTTACAAAAAAAAAAAAATATTAAAAAAATTAAAATAAATACAAAAAACACCCCCACAATTGGTGGTATGTTCAAATTTAAATAAAAATAAAAAATAAAAAACAATAACCCCCAAGTAGTAAGTTGTTGTAAATCTATTGAAAAAAAAAAAAAACAACTATAACTGTAAAAAAAAAATATAAAAAAAAAGATATATACTAATTAAAATAGTTTTTGTTTTAACCTGTTTAATTTTTATTTTATTGGCTTTAAAATTTTTCTATATTTAACTAATCTTGACCACTCGTTACCCAATATATCAGATGTTGCTTGCTGTGGCGGGTTTGTTGCATCATTTTTTTGTAATTGTTGAGGGAAAATTGCTTGTTTAGTGGCCAACACTATTATTGAAAAATCATTTATAATTCTTTTTATTAACTCTATCCACATTAAATTTGGATATGGGCCCTCACCTTTTCTATCAATCCAATAATAAGCTGAAATACTATCGATTATTATTAGATTTATATCTTTTGGGAAATTATTATTGTCGCTATTATTAGTGCTATTTGAGTTTATATTTCTTATAAATTGACTGATACTTTTTAAAGTAATTAAAAATTGAAAACTATCCCTACAGCGATAAATATAAAATCTACTAAGACATGATTTTAAAAATTGATCATACTCGATAATATTACTATTATTATTATTATTATTATTATTATTATTATTATTATTATTATTATTATTATTATTATTTACATTATTTTTACATCTTTCATATCTTTCTTTCAATAATGACTCTAATTTTGCAATGTCAAATTTATAATCGTTGTCAAAATAAATAACCCCAATTTCATTTCCTTTAAAAGGTTCTTGAGATGGTAATATTGACTCGATCAAAACACTTAGTGCCATATCAGTTTTACCTGATCCACTTTGCCCAAATATTTCAATTACACCTTGAACTTTATTATTACCATTCGCTGCTATTTGTTTCTGTTGGGTTTGATTTAAAAACCTATCAATATCTTCCACACCTGTTCTTATCAATTTATATTCTCTTTTGAAAAATACATTGGATCCAGATGTATCAAATGCCTTTATCATTTTATAATTATTTGTTATTTATTGTTGATTAATTGTTTATTTGTTAGTTTATTTATTTGGTGTTTATTTATAAATATATAAGAACATTTTAAAGTTTTATGGCTAATAAAATAATAACTATATTGTAATTGAAAAAAATAAAAAAATAAAAAAAAAATAAAAAAATAAAGTTTAATTTATAAAAGTTTTAAATAAACAAAAAAAAAAAAAAAAAAAATTTTTTAATTTTTTTTTTGGAAATTATATAATTTCAAATAAATTTTTAAAAAAAAAGAAAAAAAAAACTATTTCATAATGAGTTGCCCATTTAAGTCACTCTATGCAAACAAACCACAATCCAATAGCGCAGAAGATACCATTACAGGGTGGGGTTGTCAGGTTATAAGTATTGTATCTCTATAATATAAACAAATATCTAAAAATAATAATAACCACAAATAATAACCACAAATAATAACCACAAATAATAACAATAATATTATATTAATAAAACAGCGACTATGGTTATAATAAAAGTCATTACGTATTAATACTAACATATATATACTTTTTAAAACTATCAGAGGATGGTGGATTAAATTTTTATATTAAAACAGATAAATTTTTAGAATGTGAATATCACGAAGGAGATGAAGAAGAAACTGCTTCAGCTTGTCCATTTAGATTTCACTCATCAACAAATGCCAAAAAAATAGATATGAATGAAGTAAAAAAAGAAATCCAACAAAACAAAGAAAAACAAGAACAAAAAAAAAAAGAGTTCGAAGAAATGAAACAAAAGATGAACGAAATCGATGACGAAGGACATTTTACAATACCTTTACTTAATATGCCACCATTTTTAACCTTTAAAGAAACAAAAGAAATTTTATCGAGTATGGAAATGAAACTTAAAGATAACAATTTAAAATGGGACCAACTTCACTTTTATATCAAAAAAAATACACAAGATAACAATAGTAACAACAATAACAGTAACAACAACAATAATAATAATTTTACATTAATTAATGAAAATAAACAATTAAATGAAATCATTAAAAATGGTATCGATTTAATATATTTAATATAAAATTAAAAATAAAGATAAATAAAAGATAAACAAAGTTATTTAGTTTTTTTAAGGGTTTTTTATTTTTTATTTTTTTTGTTTGTTTTATTTTTGGGGGGGAGGGGGAGGGTTGGTGGTAACCAAGAGAGTAAGCCCCATTAAGTAGAGATTAAAGATTTAAAATTCATTACAATTTGTATAGAATTTGATCTTTTAACTTAATTGTATTAGCCTTTTACTACGACCATTGACTTAAGATGATTCACAAGACTCGAGTAATTAAATATACCTTCTTTGTCAGGGTGGCACAAACTAAGACATTACCATTACGGGCGACACTTTCTGTCCTAGGGTCTGGGGACTTTTCCCAAAGCTAATCTTGTTTATTTATTTGATTATTCAAACATTGTTTGTACATGAATATCCATTTGTATGCTTTGATAACAATTCTTCAGATTACCCCAAAGAAAAAAAAAAAAATTATAATTTTTTTTTGAATTTATATTTACCGAAAAAAAAAAAAAAAATTAAAAAAAAAAAAAATTAAAAAAATAAAAATAAAAAAAAGCAAAAAAAAGAAAAAAACGAAATAACGTTGGATTGAATAAATTAAATAAATTTATGTTCAATTTTTTAATATATTAAATAAAAGAGTAAAAGAGTAATAATTTTTTTATTTATTTATAAACTAAAAAAAAAGTTTTTTTATTTATTTTTTTTTTTTATTTATTTTTTATTTGTTTTTTTTTTTGATTGATTATTTATTATTTATTATGGCCATGAATTTTATAAAAAAAAAAAAAATTTTAATATTAACAATATTTAAATATTAATTATATACAGTAAAAATTTATTATTAATACTATCCAAATTTTTTTTTTTTTTTCTTTTTTTTTTTTTTTTTTTTTTTTTTGGGGGTTATATTATTTGAGGCAAACAATTTTTAAAACCTGAATCCCGAGCCCCATTTGAAAACAAAAAAAAAAACAATCCCGTTTTTTTTCTTTTCTTGCCTACCAAAAAAACCAAAAAAATACTTTTTCAATTATTTTTTAGCCCATCGTTGGATTAAAGAATTGATAAAAAAGAATACATAAAAAAATTTTGAGGGGGAAAGCAGAAGGCAATATAAAATGAAACAATAGGCCCCCTTTATATTTTAAATTTGCTATTA